AAGACTTTGAGGAGAAAGCCCTCCTTACTGCACCTGTTACACCAAGGATCTACAAGCGGTACGTAGACGATACTTTCACAATTTTACCATCAGACAAAGTAACTGCATTTTTTAGAACATCTTATTTCCATAAACTCTAAAATTCAATTTACTATGGAGTTAGAGGCAAATAATTCCTTACCTTTCCTAGATGTGTTAGTCATCCGAAATCCTAATAACACCATTGGTCACACTGTGTATAGGAAAAAGACCCATACAAACCGATATTTAAATGGTGAATCTCACCACCATCCTTCACAGTTAGCTACCGTGGGCAAATCTTTGTTACAGAGAGCACGAGGGATCTGTGACAGCAAACACCTGGCCGCCGAGCTTCAGCACGTCAAGCAAGTTCTGCACGACAACAAGCTTCGGGTCCCGCGCCTACGTCACAGTGACCGAGTGAAGCCGGCCACAGTCGAGCGTGTGCCTGCTGTACTACCATATGTCAGAGGTGTCACAGACAAGATTGGCTATATCTTGACGCGAGCTTCTATTAGAACATTCTACAAGCCGCCGAAGAAGATTAGTCAGTTCCTACCATCCGTCAAGTGTCATATTCCTCTACAAGATGCAGGAGTGTACAAGCTTGATTGTGAATGTGGTCTCTCTTATATAGGACAAACAAAAAGATCAATTAGAACCCGCGTAAAAGAACATATAGCTGATGTGAAGCATCAACGTTCCGGGAAGTCTGCAGTTTGTGATCATATCCTGGACGGCCCCAACCATTACATCAGATTTGATAGACCACAATTCCTCGCGAAAGAACACCGATTCCTACCAAGGATGATACGTGAGGCTATTGAAATTAAAAAACATCCTAATTTCAATAGAGAAGGAGGCTGGGTACTACCACCTGCTTGGGATCCTATAATCAATAAAATTAAAACTAAACCCAAGCATACCACTGCAAGACCTCAAGACATAGTCAGTTCATTTTGCATAGATCGGACCATAAACAATAATTATAAAAAAAGCTGAAGGTACTCCCGGTTTAACAATGACATCGGGACGTCAGTCATCTCAGTCCCCCGTGACCATGGGTGCTGGAAAGCGCCCGAAACGTCGGGAGTTAAAAATAAAAGTTATTAAAAGCAAAAATAAACGCGATAAAATCCGTAAAAGTAGTTTTAATCATCACTGGAAGGGCTGATGAAATGAGAAGAAATGGCCATATATACAGATCGATTGCCTCAAGGCTTCGTCGACCAGTATCAACGATTCATCGCAGCATCCAGCGGTACAGATCGTCTAATTCTCTTGTGAGGAGGAGGGGTCAAGGTAGAAAAAGATGTACATCGAGGCGAGATGACAGTTTTTTACAACTTGGAGTTCGTAGGAATACGCGATTAACGGCTGTACAAGCTCGAAATGAACTGGAAGACGTTCGAAGAGTACGAGTAAGTGAGCGTACAGTTCGCAGGAGATTTGCAGAAGTTGGTTTAGGGTCGTATATACCTGCCAAAGGCCCAAAACTTGAGAGACGTCACCGCGTAAACCGATTAAGCTATGCGCGAGAACATCGTCATTGGGATTTGAACGAATGGCAGCAGGTTCTCTTTACTGATGAGTGCAGAGTTCTTTTAAAACAGATCGATGGGAGACAGCGAATATGGAGACGCAAAGGAGAACGCCACATATAGTCTAATTTTGAACACACAGTGGCTTATGGTGGCGGCTCGATTATGGTTTGGGGAGGGATATGTTTGGGAGCTCGCACGGAGTTAGTGATAGTCACAGGAGGGACCATGACAGCAGATCGATACATCAGAGACATTTTAGAAGAACATGTTGTACCATTTGCCCCATTTATTGGTGACGACTTTATTGTAATGCAACATAATGCTCGTGCTCATAGTGTACAATCGATACAGGCATATCTGAGCCACGTAGGTATACCGGTGATGCAGTGGCCAGCAAATTCCCCCGATATGAATCCGATAGAGCATGTCTGGGACTTGCTAAAAAGAAGGGTTAAATCCAGAATGCCACCCCCCAACAATCTGAATGAACTTGGAAATGCATTACTTGAGGAGTGGGAGCGGTTGCCTCAAGAAATAATCGATAACATAATCTATAGCATGCCCAGACGAATGGAAACCGTAATCAGAGCAAGAGGGGGAAACACTCGTTATTAATTTTGCTTTAATTTTATTGTTAAATCATTTAATGCTTAATTTTTTTTATTTTTTGTGATGGTTCATAATCATCTAAAAATTTCACTTATTTCAAATTTCTTTATTTTTCAATAAAAAATAACGAAGACTTTTCAAAGTCGTTGTTAAAAGATGTTAATCAATTTGTTATTTTGTGTCTAATTACATTTTCGTCAAATATATGCGTTATTATCTCATAGTCTCACTTTTATTTTCTGTTCCGCTGATTGTGCCGGTGTGTATAGTTGAATGTACCCCAACTCATAAAGAATGACAGTTTTTATTTCAACCATTCAATGTTATCTGTACTTTATTGCATCTTTTAATATTGTAAATATAAACTTTTAACACAAATCAAAAAAAGAATTCGATTTTTTGTGAATCAATTCATCCAATTTCGATTTGAATTGATTTAAAAATGTTTAAAATTAATCACTAGGCCGTCCATTTTGTTGACAGCTTTTTGTCATGCCGTTGCTTCAGAGTTTCATAATTTTGATGAATAGTGGAATATTTGTGGCAGTGGAATACTGCTAAATATCGCAAATATCCTTTCTTACAAATAGTGGCAGCCATAAATTATGTTTATAAATTAAAGTAGTTATAAAATTTAATATTTTGGTGTTATATTGGGTGCAGTAGGGAGCGAAGCGAGCCTAGGACGTGGGGCACCCCGACTCAGACAGGTTAGGTTAGAAGGGGATGACGGGTTCGAGTGAGCGAGCGAATAGACCCCGTCAAGACCCGTTCATGGTTATTTTTTTGTAAACCACTCGGAAGTAGGAGCCCAGCGAAGCGGGGCTCCGTCGACTGGACTTCCCTCGACTGTACCACGTTAAGTGGCGTGGGGCTTCCCTCCCCCAACTCTCTCTCCCCATAAATCAGGTTAATATTGTCATAAAAATTACGAAACATAACCTCAAAATGAGATTTTTAAAAATTTATAAAAAAAAACTAAGCACATCCGGCAGGAAGGGGATGTAGGGGGTGACTCTACAACTCTTCCCCCTCCCCCCACCCCCTAATTCAGGCGACCGAATTGTAAACCTTACCCTTTGTATAAGTTATTTAAGATATTATGACACATTGTCACTTCATTTCAGACTTTTTTGTATAGAATCCCAGATTAAATTTCTTATTTTGTGAAATAAGAAATTTAATCTGGGATTATTTCCAATTGCTGGTATATGAGCGAGTAATTGTAAACATCAAATTGTTTCTTCATACAGATGATGATAATAAGTTCTAATAATAGTAAGTTCTTGTGCTGTATCAGTGACACAGGGCTCCTGAACTAAGAAACTTACTTTTAGACTATTTTGTAAGATAATTGTTAAGTTATCGACTACATATTTTAACCAATTAGCTGATGTGTCAGTTACTTTTTATGGGGTATTGCACTTAAAACATAACTAACGGCAGTGTAAGTGTGAATAGAAAAGCAAGTTTCAATAAGTATTAAAAATGCCATCTGAACTTTACAGCATTTTTATAAATTCTAGACTATCACTAAGTTTCTCTCAAACTACTATTTATCTTTAAATTTAACACATAACATAAACACTCACGCCTGTCAGCTAGAGCGGTAGGCAGACTTCCATTTGGCATGATCCTGACACACCTCTCTCGCCTACTCCACGTCCATATACCTACGCATATATCAATACCAGAAATTCCAATTGTAAAACACAAATTTTCAGTAGAGCCAATTAACAAAAAATAAAACTGTTTATGTCTAATAACTTTTTGAAACAAAGTACTATATTCGTGATGTCAAAAAAGACCCATTAATTAACCAAACTTAATTATAGACGAAAATAAAAGTCAACATCACCTGCATGCTTGTCCAGGACTTTAAAAGTAAGTATGTAAAGGACATTAAAAAATAAAAGACCTTTACACCCTAATTATGTAAGGTAAAGCAAAGCAAGGATTAGGTCGTAAGGGCTTAGATTATCATAAAATGAGATTACAACCTGATAAATAACTAAAACATGACTTTAAGCTCCCTATTGAAAATTATTTTTATGATACATCTCAAATAGTATAAAAAATCGAGTTAGAGCTAATTTGAAAATTCAGGTCGTAAAGGATTTTTTTCAAAAAGATAGGATTATTTTAAATATACCAATCTTGGTTGGGATTGTTAAAAACTATTTATATTATTACCCATTTATGTTATAATTATACCATTTTTATAGTCTTTTTTGAAAAAAATTATACTTGGTATCATAGAAACATCTTCTATATGTAACAGATCTTGTATATGTTTTGGATGAATTACTGACACTGTGGATTCGAAAAGCTGGTATCGTTATCTTGTGTTTCTTGCTGGTATTTAAAGTATGAATATCTGTGTTTTTATCAAAGCTATTCATGTTTTATGTACATACAATACATTTTTACGCTGCTGATGCACTTTTTATGTATTTAACCGATTTATTTTATTGAGTATATACAAAATGAATGTTTATTAGAGGTTATTAGGATTTCTAATATATTAGGTTGATAGATTCTCTGTTAGCTGTAAAGGCCTACTTTCTCCCCACAACTCGGCACTAGTCTCCGCTCATTTCTGTGTGTTATAGAGCAAGAAATATTGCGTCGCTTTTCTGAGTGTGTTGACAAACTTCACAGATTAACAAAATATTTTTATTATCTCAGATGTGCGAGTTTAAAAAAAAATTTATCGCAAACGCACAGCCGCTGAAGAGTCACTACTATACAAGTTTATAGCATTATCTCTGAATTTCAAGCAAATTAAGTCTACTAATTTTTGTTATAATTTTTTTACACTTTCAGTATGCAATATGGAGTTTTATGTGGCTGTCATGGAATATTTTTCTAATTTGTTACTACCTCAATTTAGGGGGACTTAATAGGGTGAGTTTGTTGAAATATATAATAAATTTAAAGTAAAAAGTATTGTAATTTTTTTAATCTTTCAAAAAATGAGTCCCCCAGTGATAAATTAAAAGAAGTGCTCTAAGCAGAAGAAAAGCAGTGCAGTACTAAGATATGTAATAAATAACCACCATTATAGACATAAATGTCCCACAGCTAGGCACAGATCTTATTTTTGAGAAGAGAAAGTCAATAAACACCAACATACCAATGGGAATTGCATATTATACATGTTCTTAAAAGATATTGTAACTACTTTACATGGTGGTTTTCCCTAGATAATTTGTTTCGATGTAGAGGTGGTAAACCAGCACTTTAAAAATCAAGTTAACACAGTTACGCACTATAAAACGAAATGTGAGCTTTAGAGTAGAGCTTTGGTACCTCAGAACCGGATAGCAGCCCGGAGTCAAGAAATCGCTAGTGTTTACCCATGTGCCTCGGAAATCACGTAGAGTTCTGCAAGCATGTAGAGCTCCTTTGTCCTGCGAGCATATAGAGCTCGTTGGTCCTGCAAGCTCGTAGAGCTGTTCTACCTTCGGACTATAAGTGTAAAGGGAATAGAGAGTGCACCTATGTTTATACATATACTCGGGCACTAAAATCCTGTCCTGCTCAGATGGCTAGTCTCCGTTGAGACCGTCCGCCGTGTCTGAAATTCAGTCAGTCAGGTCATTATTATTGTTATGTTTTATGTTCCATGTATTCTAATAAGAATCGAAATAATTCCAGGAAAGTGGTTTATTGTCGCTGGGAACTGGAAGTGTTAGCTGGTGGGAAGGCAATGGTTGGGGATGTCAACCTGTCTGGGGCGAAGTGGATGGGCCTGGTACTTGGCGGCCAGCTCATGTAGATGGTTGTTTTCTTCAATGGCACCATGTTGAGCTTACACAATCTGCTATAGCTGCAATTCTTACTGCCACAGCCTTGCCACTCACTATACTTCTTGCTTATCGTTCTTTTAAAAAACTCAAATCCATGTCAGGTATGTATATATTATAATTTAATATTTTTTTAACCGAAAACAAACAAATTCAATGTAAAAAATCTAATTTAACAATCATATTTGCAGACAAAAGTTCCTTACCTAGGCGTCCTGCGTATACAATAGAACTAAGTCCAACAGAAACTAACCTAAGTGAAAGCTCCTCGAAACCTATGACGCCAAGAAGAGTTAAACGTCGTTCTGGATCGAGAGGTACAGGGTCTTCAGTGCGAAGATCACGTCGTTCGTATAGAAACGCTGGATACTTGTCCTCTAACGCTTCACTCCCACGAGACGCAAGACCTTCCCGTCCTACATCGGCACATTCGTCATATTCAAACTTTCATGCTGCTCGTCCAGCGTCCTACCATCCAACACAACAAAATACATTATCCCGCTCACAGGATGTCTACGATCCTCCACCACCAACTGAGTCCGTACCTATTATGACTAACCGATTTAACACAATAAGAAAAAGTGCAAGAAGTTCGAACAATATTAGTCATGACGTCGTCGGCCCTTACAACGAACCTAGAACATACGAGCCTCAACGAAATTATGAATCGAATGTGCCGCCGTATGATAATATCGGACGTGGGTACGAAGTAGCTGTACCAAGTTATGACTCCAGAATAGATCCTGTTTCCCCATGTTCAGAGGTTCTATCATATGGCGTTGATGATTATAGTGCGATGGGATACCCTGGTGGAGAAAGTGGTTGGGAAGCGCCTCCCCCTCCGGCGCCCCCGTACAGCGCCCGAGCAACACCGCAAGCCCCCGGCCCACCTGCTTACCAACAAACGAACGACACGTATAATATGTTGCCCTAGTAATTCCCTTCCTTCTGTGCCTTATTCCAGTGATGCTCAGTTTTTTACATTGATATCTGTATAAAACATCCTTAAGGATAATTCAAATAAGTATTGGAAAAATACCTCGTGTATTTATTTGATTTTACGGGGAATCAATTAAAATAATTTAACAATCCTACATATTACAGTTTATATTATATTTCTTGAGTCATTATTGTTGATGTATAAAATGCATTCCTTTTCTTAGTGTTATTTTTAGAAATTGAATGTTATGACACAACATCGTAATTTAATTGTAATGTTGTAAATTAGAATTAATTTTTACTTATAGGTAATTGAATTTGTAAATTATACTTAAATTTATATCTAAGACTTTATTGTCAATCTCGAATAAACAAGATTTTAAAAGTGATCTTGAATGAGCACAAGTCATACACTAGCTATTAAGTTTTTACATCTGTAATTTTCTACAAAGATATTTCTTATTTTTATACAACTTTATTGTTTAAAAAAACATTCCTTAATTAGTATCCACCGATTTTAACAATTTTCCGTCCAATATATGAACAATCTCTTTTATACTACTTTAAAAATATACCGTAACAAGCATAGATTGTAAGGTTTACATTTGTATTCTTTTGGTTATTAGATTAATAAATAATTAATTATTATTTAAAAGATGTCTGAAAAAAGATTTTAAAATTTTCCGTAACTTGTACTTATACATATAAATAGTATTTATAACGTAAAATTACGAGCTTATTCCACTCATATCCACGTATTTCTTATAAACTAGGACTTAGAATGTGAGCTTTATTAGTGTAAGATATTTTTAATTTATTTTTAGGCAAACTTTGGGTAATGTTATACCAAATATACTAATGTCACAGAACTTATGATTACTCGTATTTATTTTTTTCAACGTTCCGTCCCCCTCGTGCATCCAATTCAAAGCCCCGAAAACTTTCAGCTCGAGTTGAAAAATAGTTTTCAGTACCTAGAAGACAGGGGGTGCTAAGAATCTCCGGTGGAGGTTCGGTTGCCACCTACGACTCGACCTGGCAACTTATAACGCAGGCACCCTGAGGACTGACGAGAAGATATTGGAGCTGGAAGAAGAGATAGACAAGTTGCGCTGGCATATTATTGGATTATCCGAAGTCCGAAGAGAGGGGGAGGACACGATAATCCTCGAGTCCGGCAACTTGTTCTATCACCGGGAGGGCGACCATCTGTCCCAAGGAGGTGTCGGATTTATCGTCCACAAGTCTCTCGTCAACAACGTTGTAAAGATTGGGAGTGTGTCGACGAGGGTCGCGTACCTGATAGTCACAATCACCAAACGGTATTCGCTGAAGGTCATACAGATTTACGCACCAACCTCGGCACATCCCGATGAGGAGGTGGAGGAAATGTATGAGGATATTCCCAGAGCAATGCATTCCTCCAAAACCCACTACACAGTGTTGATGGGAGACTTCAACGCAAAACTAGGCACAAGAGAAAGCGGTGAGCTGAAGTTAGGGAAATTTGGAGTAGGGCAACGGAACCGAAGGGGCCAGCAGCTGGCCGACTTTATGGAGAAAGAGGGACTCTTTATGATGAACTCTTTCTTCCAGAAGTGGCCCCACAGGAAGCGGTCCTTGTCGAGCCCCGACGGTTCGACAAAAAATGAGATTGACTTCATTATGACGACCAGACGCCAACTGTTCAGTGAGGTCTCAGTGATCGCTAGGGTGAAAACTAGCAGCGATCACCAAATGGTTAGAAGCACACTGAACCTAAACATTAAGTTGAAGAGGTCTCGTCTAATGAAGTCAACTCTCCGTTCCCCTCGTGTTCTAATCCAGAATCCCGAAACCTTTCAGCTCGAGTTACGTAATCGCTTTCAGTGCCTATAAGATTGCAATGCAGTGGACGATATGAATGACAAGCTCGTGGAAACTGTCGATGCAGTCGGAGCTAAGTTCTGCGTGACCCGCCGCAGAAGAACACAAAAACTCTCCGATCACACTCTTAATCTCATGGCTGTTAGACGGGAGATGAGGCTGCAATCGTCAACAGATTTGACAGCAGACAGGCAACTGAACAGACAGATCTCCAAATGCATGCGGCGAGACTTACGCAACTTTAATACTACTCGTATTAAAGAAGCGATCGAGCGGAACCAGGGCTCCAAAGTCTTTGCCAGAGATCTGTCTGCCAGAAAGAGCCAACTGTCAAAGCTGAAGACTGAGTGTGGCAGCATCGTTTCCAGGACACCTGAGATTGTGAGTGAGATTGAGAGGTTCTATGGGCAGCTGTACACATCATCGTTGGAGCCACACGCAAGTGTGAGTAACGATCCAAGAGCAAGTCTTATCCGACACTATTCCGAAGATATCCCAGACATCAGTCTGAGCGAGATTAGAATCGCTCTCCAGCACCTTAAAAACGGCAAGGCCCCGGGCGAGGATGGAATTACAGCGGAGCTTCTGAAAGCGGGTGGAGCACCGGTACTTGAAGTCCTTCAGAAGCTCTTAAATTCTGTCCTCCATGGTGGCACTACTCCGGAGGCGTGGAGCAGAAGCGCGGTGGTCTTGTTCTTTAAGAAAGGCGACATTGCTCTCTTGAAGAACTACAGACAGATTTCCCTTCCGAGGCACGTCTACGTGCTGTTTTTGAGAGTCATTACGAATCGTCTCGCACGCAGACTCAAAGACTTCCAGCCTTCCGAACAAGGCGGTTTCCGAAAAGGCTTTGTATACCATAGACCACATACATATCCTTCGGAAATTTTTACATTAGACCATGGAGTACAATCTGCCGCTTTGACTAAGAGAAAACCTTTGATTCCGTCGTAATTTAGGGGTCCCTTCCCTTCACTTCCGCGTCCTCTATCTCTTCAGCGGTGTCAAGGCGAGTATTTTTTAACGAGCACACAGTCCACCTAATGGTAAGTGGTTGCTGTGGCCCTACATCTATCCTCGATTACGAATCAAAATGCAAATGCGTTGTCTCCCGTGAGGAGTAAGATGGATTGCCTCGTTTCCAGTAAAAAGGGTCTCCGGTTCTCTACACTCACCATACGAAACACAGCAGCATTAAGCTAATATTTTACGCTGGTATTCTGTGAGAGCGTGGACCTTCCCCGGTCGAGCCGACCCATTCGTGCTACAACTATACTACTTACTAATATAACTGAAGCATGGCTCTACCCCGTATAAATAAGTAGTACCCGGATGACCGAGCTTTGCTCGGTTTTTTTTAAGTTACATTTAGATACAAATTACATGAATAATATTTTTTCATCTTATTGACATAATAGAAAAAACTGAACTGGTTATTTGAATGAAAATCATGAGTGCAATTGGTTTAATTAAAATTTTTATTATTTTTAAAAATTACTAAAAAAAGGGATCTAAATAATAGATTTTCTCACAAAAGAAGGGAATTTGAAAAAAAAAGGAAAAAAAAGTCTGACCCAAAACGGGACGCAAACCACGGAACTCCGATATCACGCCCGACCGACATCCCACCTGAGCTATTACGATCGTTAGTAGTTTGTCAAAATTTATCTTCTTATATTGAAGCAGTTTTTTTATTGCCTGAAAACACGGACAAAAGGGCATTTTCTAAAAATAAATCCTAGCTAGATCGATTTATTGCCCCCGAAACTCCCTGGACACAAAATTTTATGAAAATCGTTGGAGCCGTTTCCGAGATTCCAATTAATATATATATATATATATACAAGAATTGCTTGTTTGAAGGTATAGGATATTAAAGTACTGAAGTGTTCGTAGTTTATATAGTAGAGCTACGATGGCTACCCGAGTACAGAACTGAGTACGAAACCCTATTTTTACCCTATTTTTTTTCATTCATTCATTGCACGTTTTCAACATGGACTGAATGAATACGGTATTAACATCAATGGCGACTACATTACTCACCTTCGATTTGCCAACGATATAGTCCTTATAGCAGAATCGCTAGAGGACCTCAATAGTGTCTCCCACCGAATAGGTCTTAAGATGAATATGGACAACACAAAGATCATGTGTAAAGTCCATGTATCACATATGCCTGTAGTTGTTGGGAGCATCGCCATGCTCGAAATTGTTGACGAGTATGCTTATCTGGGACCTATATTCAACTAGTTAAGTCCAACTTCGACTGGAAGGTCAATCGATGAATTCTACTCGGCTGGGCAGCGTTCGGGAGATTACGAAGCTCAAGATCGCTCAGCAAGCTATGGAGAGAGCTACGCTCGCGGTTTCTGCGTGATAGACTTAAAATGAGGATATCCGCAGTAGAACCTGAGTAACCGACATAGCCCAACAGATTACACTGTAGTGGCAATGAGCCGGCCATATATCTCGAGAAATCGACTACCGATGGCGAAGAAAGGTTCTCGAGTGGCAGCCTCGTACCGGTAGATGAAGTGTAGGCGTCCCCCACTAGATGGAGTAATAAGCTGGTAAGACATGCAGGAAGTTGATGAATTCAGATGGCTCAGGTCCGAGTTTTGTGGCATTCCTAAGGCAATGCCTATGTCCAGCATTGGACTTGTGAAGGGCTGTTATGATAAAATGATGATTCCAGGAAACGTGATGTGTCCATTCTCTTCTACACCAACTAAAGGCTTTAATTTAGTCCGAAGTCTTTATTCCACTCAGTTGTAATTAGTTTTTACGCAGTTTTCACTTTATTTTGGTTTTCTGTGAAGACTGGGTGCGGTGCGCGTGTGGTATTGGTAAAGGTCTAGTTTAGTCGCCGTTGAGATGTAACGGGGATGACTGAATATGGAGATGAGTGCTCGTAAAAATAAAATGAAGTTTAGTATGCATTTGTTGCGTAACGAACGATTAAAAAGGGTTATGGCTCTTGGACATTTTATTTAGTGATTATAAGTAGTTTCCTTTGAATCGATCTAAGTAGCTGAAGTAGAATTAAGTATTGAACAAAATTGCCGGAGGTTTTCCCGAGCATTCATACTATTAGTCACTTGTTGGTGACTATTGGTCGTATTGCACGCATTGGTGCGTAGATGTTACTGCGATTTACTTGTGTTATTCAGTAGCGATGAACATCTGATGGTGTGGTGGAAGGCCTTTGTCTCGTAGAGACTGCTGTTGGTCGACTTGGAACGACCTGATATTCGTTGTCTGTACAGTAGATCCTATCACAAGAAGTGATGAAGATATGGGTAGCAGTTTGTTGCTCGCCATTGCGGCATCATGAGCACTGTGTGTGTCTTGGCACACTGTGCATAATGATTTTTACGAGAAAATTTAGCGGGAAGAGCTTAAATCATTAAACCCAATGGACTCGCCTCGTATGATTATTCCCCTCTGCGCAAGTATTGAATTTAAAAATCTTGTGCGTTTATAAATATATTGTCATTACAAGAATCGTTTCCGTCGTTGTAGGTGCTCTTAAAAAGTGCCGATTTGTGCGGCTAACGCTTCGATCAACAATACTATAATAGATAAAGGGGTCCCAAAATGAGTTTCGAGTATCCCAAATTGAGTTTCGATTATCCCACATTGAGTTTCGAGTATCCCAAAATGAGTTTCGATTATCCCAAAACGAGTTTCGAGTATCGCAAATTGAGTTTCGAGTATCCGAAATTCAGTTTCGAGAATCACAAAATGAGTTTCGAGCATCCCAAATTGAGTTCCGAGTATCCCAAAATGAGTTTCGAGTATCCCAAATTGAGTTTCGAGTATCCCAAATTGAGTTTCGAGTATCCCAAATTGAGTTTCGAGTACTTATCCCAAATTGAGTTTCGAGTATCCCAAAGTGAATTTCGAGTATCCCAAATTGAGTTTCGAGTATCCCAAAATAAATTTCGAGTATCCCAAAATGAGTTTCGAGTATGCCAAATTGAGTTTCGAGTATCCCAAATTGAGTTTCGATTATACCAAATTGAGTTTGGAGTATCCCAAATTGAGTTTCGAGTATCCCAAATTGAGTTTCGAGTATCCAAAATTGAGTTTCGAGTATCCCAAATTGAGTTTCGAGTATCCCAAATTGAGTTTCGAGTATCCCAAATTGAGTTTCGAGTATCCCAAATTGAGTTTCGAGTATCCCAAAATGACTTTCGTGTATCCAAAAATGAGTTTCGAGTATCCCAAATTGAGTTTCGAGTATCCCAAAATGAGTTTCGAGTATACCAAATTAAGTTTCGAGTATCCCAAATTGAGTTCCGAGTTACCAAATTGATTTTCGAGTATCCCAAAATGAGTTTCGAGTATCTCAAATTGAGTTTCGAGTATCCCAAATTGAGTTTCGATTATACCAAATTGAGTTTCGAGTATCCCAAAATGAGTTTCGAGTATCCCAAATTGAGTTTCGAGTATCCCAAATTGAGTTTCGAGTATCCCAAAATGAGTTTCGTGTATCCAAAAATGAGTTTCGAGTATCCCAAATTGAGTTTCGAGTATCCCAAATTGAGTTTCGAGTATCCCAAAATGAGTTTCGAGTATCCCAAATTGAGTTTCGAGTATCCCAAAATGAGTTTCGAGTATCCCAAAATGAGTTTCGAGTATCCCAAAATGAAAAATCCGGATTTTCCAGAGTTTTATAAATCCGGTTTTTAAGACTCAAATCCGGTTTTTTCGGATTTTAGTGAAAATTGAGTTCAATGGATCATATTTTACATTTATCCACAAATTTTCATTCTAACTAATGAGTAGTTAGGTATTACCTACCCTAATAAGCAAATTCGGGCAATATTTGAATTGGTAGGTACTTACTATTCGAATTATTCGAATATTACGAATTTTTCGAATATTACGAATTTTTCGAATGTTTTCTACTTAAAGAACAACAAGTCATTTAACTTACTTACTTTTATAGCACATTGACACCTAAGTAGAGTTTCAAAAGAAAAATAAGACGAACAATCTTTGATTATATACCTGTCATATAATCAAAGTGAACAACATTTTTTTAAATATTTATTGGCATAAATCACTAACTATCAGACGTAACAAAAATAATAACAAATCTGTTTCTCTTGTATGTTGAATTTAAGAGAAAAAACTATTTAATCAACTTCTACATATTTTTCTTCTATGAGACATAAATGAAATAAATTCTTCTATTATTATTCACACACACAAAGTTAACATTTTAAAATTACAATAAAATCGACTTCTTATACCAAACCAAAAAATTAGACTTTTCAAAATAAAGAAATAAAAAAATTTACTGCAATATACCTATGCACTTATGAATAAAAGGTAAGAAATATTTTACAAATGAAAAGTAAAGTTTATCAAAAAGTTATTAATTAATACTTCTTGCTTTGATAATATGACCTAAGAAATGAAAGGCAGTCTAGAGTGTCATCATTTAAGGCGCTACGAAGGTAGCTGCATGTCATCCTACATGACGAAACACTCTTTCAGATTCTACACTTGTTGGAGGAATCGTTAACAAAAAATTATATGCCCTCCAATGAGGCTCTATATATAGGCATGATAAAATCTACATTTAATAATGTACATTTTTTAAACCTCATAAGATGCCATCACTACACGAATTACAATTTCTAAGTATTCGTTAGACCTAAATGTAGACGACGGGATGAAGTCGTCTTATTAATCAACGTATCATCAATTTGATCTCGCAGCTGCTCTTGGATACTTTTGTCAGCAAGAGAATTTTGAAACATTCTTTCCTGCTGATATTTTAAAATCCCTGTCAGTTCTTAAGATCCTTTGCAATATGCGAGTTTTTATTGATTCAGCTAGTTTACGGCTTATTGCGCTATTTCTTTCCATAAGCTTCGTTATCATAAACTTTAGGGCTATTTCACATGTTAATAGATTTGCCTTATATTCGCAAAGTGCTTCAACTGTTGCCTTTATTATATTCAGCGAGTTGGAAAGATCTTCCAATATTTGATTTACTACGGCTGAAAAATGTTCTGAAATATGTTTATTATTAAATTCTATTTATCTCTATATTCGAAAAATTCGAAGTATTCGAATATTACTCTACAGATTATTCGAATAGTATATGAGGTGAATATTCGAATAAAACGAATATTCGAATAGTAAGTCCTATATACAGCTCATAATTTTTTTATAAAATCATTAGACAGCCAAGACATGATATCTGCCAGGCAACTGGCAATGTCATTGAAACGGAGAATTAAAGAGAGGCGACTCTATAATATTGTCGGTGCCTTACAACACTTACCTAATATATATATATATATAAAAAAAAAAAAAAAAAAATCAATTTTTAAATGAGACTAAGTAGGACGAAGATACGTTTAAAAACCTACGTATGATGAAATAAAAAATTTGATCTATCAAGCTGCAACCTTGGATGTGGACAATTGCACGACCACGTCGACTAATACGAACTCTATTTCTGAAACTCTGTGCGATAGTTCTGATTCATCGCCTCTCAGTTTTAAAGAAAAGTCAAAAATCGTCAACTTTCTCTTGCAAGTGTGGGTAGTGATCATCAACACCAGCCAACGAGTGTAATCAGCGCAATTGATTTACGTTGAAATAGCTTTATTTGAAAACGGTGGAGGTTGTAGAGAACTCCTAAAAAAATTCTGAACAGGTTGCTTTCCATACCGCCGACCAGTGTTGAGTCTGAAAGAGCTTTTTCCACAGCTAGCATGTTCTGTAATAAAATAAGATTACGTCTTTACGTGTCTCATACACTTGACGCTTTCATGTTTTTAAGATTTCGTTTTCTAAAAAAGGCTGACTAATATAAATATATGTACTAAATTAATGTCATAAAAATGAAATTTATTAATTATTTCTTCTCTTATTTGTAACTGAGTTACCTTAAACATTAGTTTTTTGAGACTGCACTTTTATAAAAATGATGGATACTTAAATTATCTTACATTTTGTTGCTTTTGATTTTATGTTATGTAGAGTTTATGACTATGTTTTGTTGTGTATTTTCATCATCACCACCATCATTACAGTCCTTCACAAGTCCACTGCTGAACATCACCTCACCCAAGGAATGCCACAAAGCACGGTCGTGAGCCACCTGCATCCATCGACTTCCTGCATGTCTTATTAGGTCGTCACTCCATCTAGTGGGGGGTCGCCCTACACGGCAACACGCACTGGTTGTACAGTCTCGTGTTTAGATTTTGAGGTATACCTGACGAGAAGACCTCTCGGTCCAAGTTGGACTTACCTAGTCGGACTAGTATACGGCAGGCAAAGTGGCAGATTGTACTCTTCGGTCTTCTGTACAATCTGCCGTAGGATATGTATGTGTTTTATGGTACTGAAACCTTTTCGGAAACCGGCTTGTTCGGGAAGATGGAAGTCGTAGAGTCTGGGTGCGAGACGATTCGTAATGACTCTCGAAAACGGCACGTAGACGCGGCTCAGAAGGGAAATTGGTCTATAGTTCTTCAAGAGAGCATTGTCACCTTTCTTGAAGAACAAGACCACCGCACTTCTGCTCCACGCATCCGTAGTGCCACCATGGAGGACGGAATTAAAGAGCTTCTGAAGGACTTCAAGTACCGGTTTTTTACCCGCTTTCAGGTGCTCCGCTGCAATTCCAATCTCGCCTGGGATCTTGCCTTTGTAAGGTGCTGGAGAGCCATTCTAATCTAGCTTAGATTGACATTCAGGATATCATCGGAATAGTATCGGATAAGACTTATTCTTGGATCATTACTCACACTTGCGTGTAGCTCCAACGATGATGTGTAAAGCTGCCCATATAACCTCTCAATCCCACTGAAAGTCTCAGGTATCCCGGAAACGATGCTGGCACACTCAGTCTTCAGCTTTGACAGTTGGCTCTTTCTGGCAGACAGATCTCTGGCAAAGACTTTGGAGCCCTGGTTCCACTCAACAATTCTGCTGATGATTGCAGCATCATTTCCTGTCTAACAGCCATGAGTTTTTGTGTTCTGCTGCGGTGGGTCTTGTAAAACTTAGCTCCGACCGCATGGACAGTTTCCCCGAGCTTGTCATTCATATTGTCCACTGCATTGCAATCTTCTAGGCACTGAAAACGGTGTTTTAACTCCAGCTGAAAGGTTTCGGGATTTTGGATTAGAGCACGAGGGCACGAACCTTGACTTCATTAGATGAGACCTCTCCAACTTAACGTTTAGTATCCCAAATTGAGTTTCGAGTATCCCAAATTGCGTTTCGAGTATCCAAAAATGAGTTTCGAGTATCCCAAATTGAATTTCGAGTATTCCCAATTGAGTTTCAGGTATCCCAAATTGAGTTTTGAGTATCCCAAATTGAGTTTCGAGTATCCCAAATTGAGTTTAAAATGAATTTCGAGTATCCCAAATTGATTTTCGATTATGCCGAAACGAGTTTCGAGTATCCCAAAATCAGTTTCGAGTATCCCAAATTGAGTTTTGAGTATCCCAAAATGAGTTTCGAGTATCCCAAAATGAGTATCGAGTATCCCAAAATGAGTTTCAAGTATCCCAAAATGTGTTTCGATTATCCCAAATTGAGTTTCGAGTATCCCAAATTGAGTTTCGAGTACCTCAAATTGAGTTTCGAATATCCCAAATGTAGTTTCAAAGATCCCAAAATGAGTTTCGAGTATCCAAAAATGAGTTTCGAGTATCCCAAAATTGAGTTTCAATTATCCCAAAACGAGTTTCGAGTATCGCAAATTGAAATTCGAGTATCCCAAATTGAGTTTCGAGTATCCAAAAATGAGTTTCGAGTATCCCAAAATGTGTTTCGATTATCCCAAATTGAGTTTCGAGTATCCCAAATTGAGTTTCGAGTATCCCAAATTGAGTTTAGAGTATTCCAAATTGAGTTTCGATTATCCCAAATTGAGTTTCGAGTATCCCAAATTGAGTTTCGAGTATTCCAAATGTAGTTTCAAAGATCCCAAAATGAGTTTCGAGTATCCAAAAATGAGTTTCGAGTATCCCAAAATTGAGTTTCGATTATCCCAAAACGAGTTTCGAGTATCGCAAATTGAATTTCGAGGATCCCAAATGGAGTTTCTAATATCCCAAAACGAGTGTCGAGTATCCCAAATTGAGTTTCGAGTATCCCAAAACGAGTTTCGAGTATCGCAAATTGAGTTTCGAGGATCCCAAATGGAGTTTCTAGTATCCCAAAACGAGTGTCGAGTATCCCAAATTGAGTTTCTAGTATCCCAAAACGAGTGTCGAGTATCCCAAATTGAGTTTCGAGTATCCAAAATTGAGTTTCGAGTATCGCAAATTGATTTCTTATATTTACGCGAACACTACACATTGAAATAATACTAGTTTTTACGGAATTTATCGCGTATATTTAACTTTTTAAATACCCGACGTTTCGAACGCTTTACAGCACTCATGGTCACGGGCGGGACTGAGATGTTCAACGTCCATATGTCATAGTTAACCGCGGTTACCATAGATTAAAATTTTACTTTTGTTCCGATCTATACAGTATGAACTTATGGTATCTTGAAGTCTTGCAGTTGTATGCTTGGGCTGGGATTTAATTTTATTTATTATCGGATCCCAAGCAGAGTCTCGAGTAGTCATGGATACGTCAGATTATAATTCTAAAATACAAGAACTTTTGTCGGATGTAAGTACTTATAAAAAGGTTAAAAACGACTCAACAAATAGCACACTAAAAACAACTAGTGACCTCATAAAGAAACACTTCGAAAAAATTAAATCTGGAAGTAAAATGGATAATACCTACGTGCGCCAAATCACCAAAATTGTATGGGTTACCAAAAATACACAAGCCCAATGCTCCATTACGTTCCATAGTGAGCCAAATCGATTCACCAACTTACAGATTGGCTCAACACTTAGCGAAAATACTCTTACCGAGCGGTGAGAGTATTTTCGCTTCAGAGGACCTACAAGAGCACACATAAAGGATTCCTACCATTTTGTCAGCGAGATTAAAGACCTACATCTGGCAGACAATGAAACTATGGTCAGTTTTGATGTGCAGTCATTGTTTACGTGCTTACCTGTTGAAGACTGCATCTCAATGTAACTAGAAGGCTGGAAGAAAACAACATGCCCGTAGAATATGCAGTTTTACTCAGACACTGCCTTACATCTGGCTACCTATTGTGGAAGGAGGAGTTCCTCAAGCAAGTAGATGGCGTGGCGATGGGCTCACCTGTATCTCCCATTGTCACCGACATATTCATGGAAGACTGAGGAGAAAGCCCTGCTTAGTTCTCCCATAAATCCAAGATTCTACAAGCGGTACGTAGACGACACTTTCACAATTCTACCTTTAGATAAAGTAACTGCATTTTTAGACCATCTTAACTCTATAAATTCTAAAATTCAGTTCACAATGGAGTTAGAGGCAAACAATTCCTTAGCTTTTCTAGATGTGTTAGTAATTCGGAATCCTGATAACACCTTGAGCCATACTGTGTATAGAAAAAAGACCCATACAGATAGATATTTAAACGGTGATTCTCACCACCATCCTTCACAGTTAGCTACCGTGGGTAAATCTTTGTTTCAGAGAGCACGAGGGATCTGTGACAGTAAACACCTGGCTGCCGAGCTCCACCATGTCAAGCAAGTTTTGCATGACAACAAGCTTCGAGTCCCGCGCCTACGTCACAGTGAACGAGTGAAGCCGGCCACAGTCGAGCGTGTACCTGCTGTATTGCCATATGTTAGAGGAGTCACTGACAAGATTGGCTACATCTTGAAGCGTGCTTCCATCAAAACATACTTCAAGCCGCTGAAGAAGATTGGTCAGTTTTTACCATCAGTCAAGTGTAATGTCCCTCTGCAAGATGCAGGAGTATACAAGCTTGATTGTGAATGTGGTCTCTCCTACATAGGACAAACTAAAAGATCAATAAAAACCCGCGTTAAAGAACATATAGCTGATGTGAAGAATCGACGCTCCTGGAAGTCTGCAGTCTGTGAACACGTACAGGATCGCCCTCGTCACTACATAAGATTTAATAGACCGCAAATCCTCGCTAAAAACACCGATTCCTTCCAAGGATGATTCGCGAGGCTATTGAAATCAAAAAACATCCTAATTTCAATAGAGAAGATGGCTGGGTGCTACCATCTGCTTGGGATCCGATAATAAATAAAATTAAATCCCAATCCAAGCATACAACTGCAAGACTTCAAGATACCATAAGTTCATACTGTATAGATCCGAACAAAAGTTAAATTTTAATCTATGGTAACCGCGGTTAACTATGACATATGGACGTTGAACATCTCAGTCCCGCCCGTGACCATGAGTGCTGTAAAGCGTTCGAAACGTCGGGTATTTAAAAAGTTAAATATACGCGATAAATTCCGTAAAAATAAGTATTATTTCAATCGCAAATTGAGTTTCAAGTATCCCAAATTGAGTTTCGAGTATCCCAAATTGAGTTTCGAGTATCCCAATTTTTTTTATAAAAAAGAATATTAACAATGCTATAAACATTACTAATATTCCCCTTAACCACTCGTATTAAGTTTAAATTGCTTGTGTTACGAGTGGTTCACGCCAGTAGTCGAATGGCGGATTTGAACCCACGACCTTTTTGAGTTCGCGGTACGCGCCCTGACATTAGGCCACCGTCGCTTAAAACCCAAATTGAGTTCGAGTATCCCAAATTGAGTTTCGAGTATCCCAAATTGAATATCGATTATCCCAAAACGATTTTCGAGTATCGCAAATAGAGTTTCGAGGATCCCAAAATGAATTTCGAGTATCCCAAATTGAGTTTCGAGTATCCCAAATTGAGTTTAGGTTCGAGTATCCTAACATTTTAGATAATAATCAAGCCTCATTAGGCTCGATTATCCCAAATTGAGTTTTGAGTATCCCAAATTGAGTTTAGTTTCGAGTATCCTAACATTTTAGATTATAATCAAGCCTCATTAGGCTCGATTATCCCAAATTGAGTTTCGAGTATCCCAAATTGAGTTTCGAGTATCTCAAACTGAGTTTCGAGTATCCCAAAATGAGTTTCGAGTATCCCAAATTGAGTTTCGAGTATCCCAAAACGAGTTTTGAGTATCCCAAACTGAGTTTCGAGTATCCCAAAACTGAGTTTCGAGTATCCCAAATTGAGTTTCGAGTATCCCAAATTGAGTTTCGAGTATCCCAAATTGAGTTTCGAGTATCCCAAATTGTGTTTCGAGTGTATACAGGATGTTAGTGTAAACAACGTTGTCCTTGAAACCATTGGTTTGGTTTCACTTATAGAACGTGAATTCAATGAATTCCTGTATATATGTGTATTATATGTTTTACTTTAACTTTTATTATGTATTAGTAATTTATATCATTTTATATATTAGTTATTTATATGTTATTTTATTGCATGCATTTGATATTATATTATGTATATGTATACTGCACCACCTACCTAGTATTCATTGTTTTATTCCTTTATACTTTTGGTTGCCTGGAACAGATCGCTATGTGGCGATAAGGCCGCCAAATTGTACATGTAATCTGCTTTTTGTTATGTTACAGTTAGTTTAACACACAATTAATTATATAGTTACAATAAAGTATATAAACACGAAAGTATAGAGCCGTGGTAACTCAGATGGTTAACGCTCGCTGTAAATATAACAGACCGCGAGTAAACTAGGTTCGATCCCTGCCAGCACCAATGAAATTATTAATTGCAATTTTAAGTGCTGATTTACCACGTGCTCGGCGGTGAAGGAAAACATCGTGAGGAAACCTGCATGTCTGAGGAACAAGAAAAAAAAATATTTCGAAGACATGTGAAGTTCGCTAACACGCATTGGGGCAACGCGGCGGACACTTCCTTGCCCTAAAACCTTTCAGAAATGAGGGGAAGCCTGTGCCCAGCAGTGGGAATCGAGGCATTCCATCTTAGTTCTCAAGGGTGACAACGCATCTGCATTTTGATTTTTAATCGAGTTTAAATGTAGATGTCTATGGGCCACAAGATCCACTTACTATCAGGTGGACTGTGTGCTCGTTTGTCACCCTTATCCTATAAAATAAAAAATGCCGTTTTGACCGCGCGTCTATTGGAGGGCATTAGTTGCACACGGGCGCTACAAAAGGTAAAGCCGCCTCTGCTGAGGACTAAGGTGGAATGCCTGTCCGATTTTTTTTCCGATATTGCTCACAAAAACTTTTAGACTGGAACACATCAGTGCATCGCTGTATACTACTGCCTGGCGGCAGGAATAGGTAGACGGGTGGTACCTACCCAGACGGGCTTCTGGGTGAAAGAAGTCCTACCACCCAGTAATACGACAGAGTTACAATTGTGCGAATGTGTTGGATGGAGCCTCATTGCAAGAAGACGTTATGGATGATAATAATTCCTGCGAAAAAGGTGATCGCTACCAAGCTATGTTTAATTTGTTTTGTCTTGATTAATTGTGTAACATACATGATTGTAAGCCGTTTTTTTAAACTACCGCTGGGTTTCTTGCTGGTTTTTCCCAGGACAGAGGTTTTTTTTCTGAACGAGTGGTATTAAACAAATGAGTGACTTTCAATGAGTATTATTTATAATCTGAGTACATATATTGAAAAAAGTTTCAGTTTCTGATGGATGCAAGCGTGGTGCATGAAAGGGTTTTGCTACGCCGATGAGATATACGGGTGTTTTTGAAGCTCCCGAAAACGAAGGCAGACGCTAGTAGTAAGGATACCTTTGATTAAGGGACAAAAATAAAATCTATCCCGATGAAAAAAAAAATCATTTTTTAACAACCTTTAATTAGCTTACTTAAACATTGGGTATAGTTGCCAACACGAGTCGCGAGCACAGTTAAACTGTGGTGGGAGGTAGGTACACTCTCGGGCAAAATTATTGGGTACCTTTATTATTTCAATTCCTAATTGAATATTTTCGTCGACTTTTATGAAAATGTTTACTCGAACACATCAACTTTTACTTTGATACATGTTGCAGATATTCGTGTAAGTTATTTTATTATCTACTATAAAGTATTTAATGTATACCTGGTGGTTAGAATTGATTATTTTATTAAGAGAAAGGAAGAGCTGATATGCCTTCCATAAAATCTGGTGTTGCGGTGCGTCGTACAGTAGCTACTGAGACATTAGTTGCCTCAGCAGTCTGTTTATATGTCTTTGATGTTTTTCGCAGTACCAAATTTTTTCATGTAACTAAACACTGAATAGACCATTTGTCGGGATTGTCTATTTAACACCGAATTCTTCCTTCTGTGCATATTTAGACCAAAATCTGAACACTCAAATTATAACAAAAATAATTAAAAACAAGAAATAACAAAAACAATTAATGACAAGGAATGCACAAACAACAATTAACAACGAGGTAACAAAAACAATTAACGAAAATAAACTAATTAAAAAAGTTATCACTGAAATTATTTCTGAAGTGTACGGAAACCGAATGAAACGTTCGAAACCAATAGACGACGAGAATCGAGAATCGACTGATGAACCAATCACGTTAAACGTCAGCGTGGTCAACGTCGTATCGACCAATATAAAGTGTGCCCCAGACTTATGTCGGCAATTATACTATTGTAGTATAACGCTCACTCCATCCTTCCCTTTCACACACATGTTGCGGCGTTACCAAACCGAAATTCATTTACTAAAATTTGCAGGCGAAATAAGAATTAAAGGCGGCGATGACAATAAATCTTGGAATTAATTTTAAGTTTTGACTTACCTCTTTTTAAATTCAAAGTATTGGACGGATTACAAAAGGGCAATCAATTAAAAGAAAGTAAAAGAATTATTTTTTATTATGATCATAATTATTGTAATCGATTTTAACTATTAAATTATTCAATACCATTTCATTTCTATTTGCTTCTACAAAATCAAAGATAACGATGAAATTTTGTTTATAATTGTGTGAGTACCCAATTAGGTACGTTTATTAATTTCAATATCATTTTTGTAGTAACGAACTGCTTTTTACGTCAGGGTACAATTGATTGTCTAATCCTATACCTTCAGAATCTCGGAAACGGCTCCAACGATTTTCATAAAATTTAGTGTCCAGGGTTTTTCGCGGGCAATAAATCGATCTAGCTAGGATTTATTTTTAGAAAATGTCTTTTTGTCCGTGTTTTCAGGCAATGAAAAACTGCTACAATATAAGAAGGTAAATTTTGACAGCGTGTTAATGATCGTAATAGCTCAAGTGGATATCGAGCGGTCGCGAAATCGTTACTGCCTTGGTTGTCTTCGGTCCGATTTTTTTTCCTTTTTCTTTCAAGTTCCTTTCTTTTGTGAGAAAATCTATTATTTCGAGCCCTTTTTTTCAGTATTTTTTTTAAAATACGAAAATTTTAATTAAACTAATTGCACTCATGATTTTTTATTCAAATAACCAGTTCAGTTTTTTCTATTTCATCTGTATGTAATTTGTATCTAAATGTTATTTCAAAAAAAAAACTGAGCAAAGCTCGGTCATCCGGGTACTTATATTAAAAAATGACAACTATTACTTCTAAATTCCATATGAAGACTAGTCGTAGGTATAACTAAACTTATAAAATTAAAATTGGAAATGTCGTACCGGTTTAATGATCTCTGGAATGGTCAGTGCTAACCGCAAGGACACACGAAAGTAGCGGTAGACATTGGTTTTGGCGGGATTTATTATTAATTTTAGTTTAGAGACTGTTCCTTGTTGACATGCATGTGAGCGACAGCTCTATCTTTTTATGAAAATGTACATTTTGTGTTTCTTGTTTTGTTTTAATAATGTCTAACGCGTACGTTTATAGTGCTCGTGAATACGGCGACATGTTGATGTGACTTGGAAAAGCTCGCGGGAATGCTTCGTGTGAATCATGAATTTAAAATTTTATTAAGTACTGCTAAATTGTTAAGTTGTCGGGATGGAACACGTGTTTCATACTGGACAGTTCACAAGGTGAAAGTTAACCGAATGTGCCCATACAATGTGTTAATTTATATTTACCATAACATTAAATAATACTATTTTACCTTCAATGTAAGCTTTAGTTCCTGACGATCACGACTGCCGGCAAGTTTTCTGCCGTTGGTTATTAGACCAGCAATAATCTGTGCTTGGTTTCATTGAGCACGTCATCTGGACGGATAAGTCGACATTTACCAGAAACGGCCTGTGGAACCGAAGAAATATACCACGTGTATTCAAAGGTTAACCCGTACGCTGTTCGACATACCGAGCACCAAAGTCAATGGTCGGTTAACACGTGGGCAGGTTTATGTAAGGATTTAGATCGGTAAGATGTTTCATACCTACTTTTTTAAATAACTTAGTACTGATCTGATCTGAATAGCTACATAACTGAATACATCAGATTAATAAACATACCTACACGAAAGATAATTTAAGTAAATTTTTCATTAGCGGGGACTTGAACCAGCTATTTGGTTTATTTAACCTGTGAATTCGAATAGTGGCTGGGTGAAGACTAGCACAGTGGCAAAATAGTAGGTAAAGTAGATAAGTTAGGTATTTAGACAAGTGTTGTAAATTATTAGGTACTACGCATGCAGATCGGTTTACATGCGGACGGTCCGCTTTTTAAAACTAGCCTAAGACTTCTTTACATATTATAAGACAAGGAATAGCAAATTAAACACAAAAATCGAGCATTGAAATTATATAATACAAAAACTTAACCAAACATTTCTGTAAATGTATATAACATCCTAATACTTACATAACTTAACATTACTTATATGACAAAAATAACTTAATACAAACAACTAGAGCGATTGAACGAACTACTCTGTGTAAACAGTTGGTGTGATGTTGTTTTACAGACTAATAATACATAAATGATACTGTAAGACTTGGACCGAACTTTAATTATTGTTAGAATTAAACTAACTTGGTGTTTAGACTTACTAATCAATAAGTTTTCAATGAAATATTCTCCTTTCTGTAATTGACAATAATAAATCATTATAACATTATTTATGAGCAACTGAAATTGGTTTAAATAAAAATCTACGTCCTATTAGGAGTGCATTGGGCAGTTAAACAGTTTTTATAAGGTTGTTAGGTCAAATGGCGGGCAACTGGCGGCGCTCGGCGGGCGTGAGGTGCGGGTGCCACACATCCACGATGAGCACGAGGCGCGTGCCCGTGCCGTTGTGCCACACCTCGTGCTCGAAGCTGTCGTCGAACAACAGCACCTTGCCTGTCTGCCACTGCCTGAAATACAATAATATTGCTATTTTACGGTAGTCATTTGTAAACAGTAAGACCAGGTACACGGACACTAGGCCTACACAGACGACTAGGCAGTTTATACGTGATAGAGTCATGCTGCAGCTATATTATGTTTATATACATTGTTATATATTACAAGGTATATACGATTGGGTTGGCTCGACCCAGGAAGGACTACACTCTCACAGAATACCAGCGTAAAAAAGTAGTATGTTGAATGTAGAGAACCGGAGAACACTTTTTACTGGGAATGTGGCATTTCATTTTTCAGTTTATCACATAAACACTTCTTCTGAACTTTTGAACATAGGACTTCCCATAGACTACCTTGCATAGTATAGTTCATTAATGCATGTGAATGAGTCAGCAAGCAGTCTTTTTTAAATGAATTTAAGTTGTTATCAGGAATGCAATGCTACCTATCTCTGTATTTCATTTCCCTCTCTTTTACTAAACCCGCGGAACGATATCAGGTGGTAGCTATACTTACACCGCCACAGCACGGTAGACTCGCTCTTACTTCTATAAAAAACCTATTGTTTAAATTTCTCCACGTGTACTGGACGATTTTTTTACCGTCTCGAAAAAAATAGGGTGTAACAGGTGAACGGAATAGAAGCCTATGGAACTGATATTTTACAATTTCTTTTCTTTTACATTTACATATTACAAATGCAGGAAAGGTTTTGTATGTCGAACCCAATCCTTCCCATTCTGCTACTTCACACAATTCAATTGTTTCCTAGGACCATACATGTATAATAAACTGAACAATATCCTAAACATCTATCTCTTACCTAAAACGAGCTGCAAATCCGTTTTTACCAAATATCTGAAAACTTTAGACTATGAAGCGACTGAAAACCTATTAAAGTCACCTATATAATTTATAGTAATCTCATTGAAATCTTAATATTTTCTTGTCTTCATTTCGGTTTAAAATGCAATAATATGTTAATCCTAACTCACGCACACAGACACGCACATGCGCGCGCTCTAGCTCACACGCACAACTACTCTATTCATAGTACACACACTTATTGATGTGAAATTTGTAATAGTTGCAGTTCATTTTGTTTACTTAATTATACTTTCCGTTCAGATTTGTATTCCTCATACTGTTGCTCTATACGCGGGGGAGCCCTGGTGACTACAGTTTGATACAAGTGATACAGGTTTTTTTATACCTACATCAGGCACCAGTCTCTCACAACTTAGATACCTGTCTGGCACTTTTGTAATATTTAGCACTAATAATACCTATTTTGAACAGAGAAATAAATGCATTCATTCATTCTTTCATACCAAGAAATTCGAAAAAATCTATCAATAAATAGTACTAATTTGAAATAAACTTTCGGTACTGAAAAATAAAAAACAAAACTTTTCAAACAAATAAATAAATCAATTAAAAACCAGCGAAATTAAAATAATACACCCACAATTAGTAGTATTTATTGATAGTAAAATAAAAAAATATCAAAATTAATTATTACGTAAATATTAAAAAGCAAACTAGAGATATTTGGTGAAGAAATACCTGGTTTCCTGATCCACACGTATATAAGTGTCTTTGGTATTGCTTAATCCTAAATGCATTCGCAGCCTGCAATTGGTGGGGCCCACGTGTGGCCGAACATGCGTCCCGGGCTCCATAGAACTAAATTTTATTTGACCCCGTCTGCAATTAGCCGCAGCCGGTTCCGCTTTAACTATTGAGCAAGTAACAGGTGCTCTTTTACAACGTCCGGGTATCTCTTGACCCCTCACAAATAAATCTAATTGGGACCACTCCCCTTTTTCTTTTAATCCTTCCTTCTCTTTCTCATACAGAGCTCGCGCTGCTTCTCCCTCTTTTAATATCTCTTTCCATGACTTCTCTAAAGCCCGAGCTAATTTCGCGTATGGCGTTTCATCTACGCGCCACCATGGTCGACTTTGTAGCCTTTCCACGTTGTACAAAGAACGCTGTACAGGCGAAAGAAAGTGCCCATGCTTAGCGCCACGTTTGTGTACCTCATGCGCTTCTTCAAATCGGCCCAGTAAAAGCAAGGCATCTCCCAAATGGTAGTAGAAACGAGGTTCACACGCGGGCCCCGTATCGTTTTCTAATGCTTTACGGAATAACGTTACGGCCTCTTCGAGCTTATTGTATTGAGTTTTCAAGACGAATCCATAATGAGCCAATGCAACGCGATCGTTGGGCCATATTTTCAGTGTTTCTTTCAGTACACTTCCAGCTAAATCGGCTCTGAAATATAAAAGAAAAGGTCACATTTTTTTTTATAGAAGAAGGGGCAAACGAGCATGCGGCTCGCCTGATGTTAAGTGACTACCGCCGCCCATGATCAACCGCAACACCAGGAGAATTGCGGGTGCGTTGCCGGCCCTTGCATCCAGATGGTGTGGATGGTATCGGGACGTTTGACGTGTAGTGCGTTCACGAAATTTGGCGGCTGGGATTAATCCGAACAATTCCTCAGAGCACTCCCCGTGATAGATGCGATAAAATACGCAAAGAGATGCAACATCTCTTCGCAGCGCCAGTGAATCGAGCCGATCGGAAAGCACTCGGTCGTCGACGATTCGAGCCGCTCTGCGCTGGATGCGGTCAAGTGGAAGGAGCTGGTACTGGGGAGCCCCAGCCCAGAGATGGGAACAGTATTCCATGTGCAGCCGAACCTGCGCCTTGTAAAGTTGCAGGCGGTGTACCGGCATGAAATACTGTCCCGCTCTGCTGAGCACGCCAAGCTTTTTAAAGGCCAATTTGGCCTTCCCTTCCAAGTGACCACGAAACTGCACGTCACTCGATATGTCGACGCCGAGGATTCCGATACTGGCTGAGGCAACAAGGGGAGTGCCTTGAAACTGAGGGGATACGACAAAGGGGTTCTTTTTAGCGGTTAACGCGCAAACTTGTGTCTTCTGGGGGTTAAACTGGACTAGATTTAGTCGCCCCCAATCCGAGACTCTGTCCAGCAGAGACTCGACTTCAGACACAAGTTTGTCCCGGCACTCGGAGACGTTTTCCCGAGAAATATTGGCTCGGCCGGTGTAAAGAGCATCACCAGTGCTGTCATCTGCATAGCAATGAATGCTACGGGTATGCAACATGTCGTTGATATGCAGAAGAAACAGCGTTGGCGATAGCACGCAGCCCTGAACACCAGCATTAATAGGCTTGCAATCGGAGCTTGCACCGTCTACAACGACCTTGATGCTCCGATCTGCAAGAAAGCTGGTGATCCAATTGCACAATTTCTCGGGAAGCCCATAGGAAGGGAGCTTCGAAAGAAGCGCTTTGTGCCAAACCTGATCGAAGGCCTTCGCAATGTCCAAACTAACGGCTAATGCCTCCCCCTTGAACTCTACTGCTTCCGCCCATCTGTGAGTTAGGTAGACCAGAAGATCACCAGCTGACCGACCACGGCGAAAACCGTATTGGCGGTCACTAATCAGCTGGTGATCTTCAAGGTACCTCATGAGCTGGCTGTTTACAATGGACTCCATTGTTTTGGAGAACAAGGAGGTGATGGCGATTGGCCGGTAGTTGGACGGGTCAGAGCGGTCGCCTTTTTTTAAGGATCGGGTGGACGTAAGCCGTCTTCCATGATTTTGGGACTACGCCTAGGGAGTAGGAGTACCGGAAAAGACGCGTTAAAACCGGTGCCAACTCTGGAGCACACGTCCTCAGCACAATTTGGGGGATTCCGTCAGGCCCACTCGACTTGTGGATGTCCAGGGAGAGGAGTGCTTTGCGAACCGAGCGCTGTGTGAAGTGCACTTCCGGCATGGAGCACTCACACCGCGGGATGGTCGGCGGAGTACTCCCCCCGTCATCGAGAGTTAATGATGTTACATCACTAGATTTTATAATGCCAATATATTGCCAATAAAACACTGATTATATTAGGTTAGATTGGTGAATAAGTATTTTAGCACTTGTAAATAATAATGAATCGATAGAATCAGGCGTTACTTTGCGGAAATCCATTATAATAAAAAATAAAAATATAAATTTCTTTGCAACTTTCCGCTAAACATTACTGTTTAGCGGAAAGTTGCAAAGAAATTTATATTTTTATTTTTTATAATAATGAATCATCAAACAGTCTTGTGCCTTTCTTTAGAACACCGACATATTCGATTGCCCATGTCCTAGAAGAGCACAGTGGATAATACTATTATTATTATTAATATATAAACTATATATATATTATATAAATAAACTATAATTACCTATTGTATAAACCTGATATTGCTCAGGTCATTATCATCTATTTCGCCTTGAACCTTTATCTGATGAAAGCATTTGAAAAGTAATACTAAGTCCAAAACGACATCGCAGATTTTTTAATAACAGGTTTTTTTGTTTAGAAAAAAAAAAGGTTTTTGCAAAACAGTTTGACACCATTTTGTTATTACTGTCCAAGAACCTATATTCTATTATTATTATGAGGTCGGTGTTAATTAAATTTACTTACTTACCTATTGGCCATAAGGAAGGATATAGTTAAATTGTTCCTATAAGAAACATCATTCGGAAACCGGCGAATTAACATTCGGTAGACAGGCTCAGCGCTTAAGTAAGTTCCTGCAAATAATTGAAAAACATATTTACTACATACATAGTTAGCAAGAGACTACTAAGCATTTTTTCTTTTTATGAAACGTCACCTCCAGACTAGGATTTTCTCCTGTATCGTGGGAGCAGTTTACAAACAAAGAATCATGCCCACTTTCCATACATTGATTGACCTGTCACTTGATTCAACTACTGTTGTATAAAAACAATTATTGTTTATAATAACATAATAACTTATCATCTTTTCATTTAGAGGCCAGGGAAAAATGTTACTAAGTAAATAAAATTTTGAGGTTATAACGACTGTCAGATAAGGTCTGTACACTTATTTTTCTTTCCTCACCATAGTATAAAACTATTAAAAATCGTATCTAATCATAAATTAATAAGTTATAAAAAAGAAATTGGTTATTCTAAACATTCATAAACCACATGATGAATGAACTAGTTTTTCGTAGTCTGAAACGGAATCGGAATGTGGAAAACACGTTTTTAATATATTTTGGCATAACTTCTGGGCCTTTGAGCCATTGTAAAGCACGTTCCGTCTCCAAAAGTCTATTAAGATGATAAACAAAGTAACATTACTTTTTTTCCTGGCTTTAATTGAAAATTCAATTACACGATACGAAATAAGAAAAGAATATGCAATTTTATAAGATATTTTACATCACTAGACGCGTTAGAAAATTTTCAGGTCAATAATGGACATGATTCTTTCACAAGGACAAACATCCAGATCCGGGACAATTACTTGTAGGCCATACAAATACGTGTTCCGTGCGGGATTCGAACCCGCGGCCCTTAGTGCTGTAATTCATTGCTAAGTCACTGCGCCACGGAACTGTCAAACATGCGTGCGTAAACCAAAAATGTATGCAGGTAAACAATTTATTCAATTTCAAGATCTTACTCGAGTTGCACGTGCACTATGAACCTTACGGCGAATGCTTAGGCCCTAAATTAACTGAACTCTCAAAGCAAGAACGAATATAGGCAATTTTAGGCTACCGTGTATACCATACGTATACGTATATACACTTAACATCAGTATTTCTTGGTTTCATATGGCCTATCATTGATAAAAATCGAGGTATATCGTGATTCTTATCACTTAGCCTTCATATATTATAGAACAAGTGTCACATTGTATATGTGTGAGGTTTTATAAGGGAGTACTAGGGTGCAAGCTGGTAATACAACAACCAGCATGCACCCAGGTACTCTTTTTTATAGGATAGGGTGACAAACGAGCACACAGTCCACCTGATGGTAAGTGGATGCTGCGGCCCATAGACATCTACATCTATCCTCGATCACAAATCAAAATGCAGATGCGTTGTCACCCGTGAGGGCTAAGATGGAGTGCCTCGTTTCCAGTAAAAAGGTTGTCCGGTTCTCTCTCTACACTCACCATACGAAACACAGCAGCATTTAGCTACTATTTTATGCTGGTATTCTTTGAGAGCGTGGTTCTTCCCCGGTCGAGCTGACCCATTCGTGCTACAACTATACTACTAATATAACTGCAGCATGGCTCTACCACGTATTATAATAATACATACTCATTATAATTTTACGAACCAGTCCATAAATATACTATGAAAACACCATATATATACCTCATTTATCATTCCCGTAATTTATTTTTAAATTTATAATATAATAATAATAATAATAATCCACAACTATCACACAACGCCATCTAGTCCAAAGCTAAGCAGAGCTTGTGTTATGGGTACTAGACAACTGATAAACATACTTATATATTTCTAAATACATAAATATTATAGATAAATTACACCCAGACACAGAACAAATGATCGTGCTCATCACACAACCATTTGTCCTGGGTGAGAATCGAACCCACGACCTCCGGCATAGCAGTCAGGGTCACTAACCACTAGACCAACAGGCCTGTCAGATACGCGCGATAATACGCAAGCAAACTAGAGTTTGATCCCCACTGTCATTAACGATACCTCTATTGATACTTATTGCAATGTTAAGTGCTGATTTACCACGTGGTGGTGCAAGAAAACATCAAGACGATACCTGCGTATCTAAAAAAATATATTAATATTTCGAGAATATTTAAAGCCCGCCAACAGCATTTCGTAAGCGCAGCGAACTCTCTCTTTCCTTTTTTGGATCGGTTTTTGAGCGCGAACACTCATCCAAGAATGAAGATGTGCCCTGTGCCCAACAGTAAGACGTAAATATGCCGTTCATACATATGAAAGCTATAATGAATTATTGTTTTTATACGCTAGTCCAATACCTTTAAACGAGCAATTCTTGTTAAATTTATCGTAGTTAATATAATCGTAATCTCGGAAACGGCTCCAACGATTTTCATGAAATTTTAGTATGCAGGGGTTCCGGGGGCAATAAATCTATCTAGCTAGGACTCATTTTTAGAAAATGTCGTTTTATCCATCTTTTAGGCAATAAAAACTGCTACAATATCATCAGAATACGAAATTAATATTTTGCCGGTGCCAACATTATAACAGCTCAAATGGGATATCGGGCGATCCTGAAATCCATATCTTTCTTTTTTTTTTCAAGTCCCTTCTTTTGTGACAAAATATATTATTTTCCATTTTTTAGTATATTTTTTTAGAACACAAAAAATAATGACCGAGAAGATCGAAAAATTTTATTCATATTTCATCATTATCTAATTTGTACCTATCTAAGTATAATTTACAAGAAACACGATTTTCAAAAAAAAAAAATACCGAGCAAAGCTAGGTCATCCAGGTACTATTATTAATGTCAGCAGTGAGCTTTTGACCGCTGAACATAGGCTTCCCTTATTGATTGCCTCACATGGGAGATATTTGACATAGTAGCTAGGATTCGCAAATGGGTTTACTAGCAATCCCAGTTTTTTTGAATTTTTATCTTCTGATACGTAGGTCACTCAATAAGTTTTGAGATGCCCGAAATTTAAAAATGGAACGCTTCCGTGCTATAAATATATGTTTCTAAAAAGCTAATTTATTTAAAAATAGAACTCCATAAGCCAATTGCCCAATATTAAAATAAAAAACAAAGTTCTATTAATTTTCCTGCAACGCTTCCCGCGCCTTTCATTTAAAACGATGGATGTTAAACGTGAACATTTGCGCGCTATGATCTATTATGATTTTAAATTTAGTTTAACCGAACAATTAAGTTTCCAATGGCTACAATCAGCATTAGGGGACTCAGCTCCATCACGCGCAACAATTTATAGGCGGTTTGCTAAATTCAATAGGGGTAAAATTAACCTTAAAACTAATTAACCAAAGAACCGAGGCCCCGCAAAAAGCGGTAACGGTAGAAAATGTATGGACTACTGAAATGTTGGTGCGAGAAGACCCACGAATCACACATACGGACATCGAAAAGATTGTTCGGGGAGCATTCATACCATCCTACATCAACATCTTGGAGTGAGGAAGCTTTGTTGTCGATGGATCCCTCGTTTGCTCTCCGAAAGCGAAAAACAGACTCGTGTGGATGGGTGCCATGAAATGCGTCTACGTTTTGAAAACGGGGCATCTAGGCGTGTTTCAGAAATCGTTACTGGTGACGAGACATGGATCTATCAATATGATCCGAAAAAATAAAAGGCAGTCATCGGTATGGGTCTACTCAGGAGTTACCGACACAACTGCAAAGACCTCGCAACGTCGGCAAAAAAAATGGTGGCTAGATTTTTTTTCGCAGAGCGGACATTTGTCGGTCGTCAATGCTGGAAAATTGTAGGCTAATCAACTCTGAATGGTATACTATAGTTGCGTTACCCAAAGCTTTTCAAGCTGTGCGGGAGAGAATGCCAAAGACCGGGCTTCGGGGAATCATGCTTAATCACGATAACGCCTCTTCACATACCTCCCTTAGAACAAAGCATTTATTGAGGAATCTGGTGTTGAAACTCTAAGTCACCCACCCTACATCCATGACTTAGCTCCTTGTGATTTCTTTTTGTTCCCAAGAGTCAAAATAAAAAAATAAAAGGCAAGTTTATTTCAAACGCCGCAGAAGCCGTGGCTGCCTACGAAGAAGCGATTTCCGACCTGTCAGATCAAGTCTGTTTGTGGCATGGAATGACATATATGGCAGATTGTTTTCAGAGTTGGTTTAGGTGAATGGAACTTTGTATTAAATTTATATTAATTTATATATGTAAATTAAATTATGGAACTTTTTATATGTACTTAGAGCATTATGGAGAATATTTTGAAAAGATGTAAAATAAACATTTATAGTATCTAGAATACTTTTTGTATATCTCAAAACTTATTGAGTGTCCCACGTAATATGCGGTTACCCATATTCTGCTTCAGTTTTCCACTGTCGCCCTTACGACATCGATGGACTATTACGGTTACGGAATACTTTTACTTGTCGAATCGTAAGTGGCGGCGTTATTGGATGTGATGCAATTTAATCTACAATCGCTAAATATATTTTTAAATATATTATTTGAAAAAAAAAGAAGGTCTTAAAGATTAAACGATATCAGTTCGATTTTGCAAATTTAATTTATATTATTATTAATTAAAAGGAATATTGTAATAAGTTACTATAAGTTATTATTATAAATCTAGGTGAAATTAACTTAAATACCTCTAAACTGTATTCTGTCCAATGCTCTAGCGGTGACTTCGAGAAGTTTGCTATCGGAGAGTTGTTCGTTCATCTTGAGCAGGTGCAGATAGGCAGATATGGCGCGTGTCAGTAGTTTGTTGTCACGTCGTTTCTCTGCCTCGGCGTCCAACGAGCGCGCCGCCAGCCAGCGAGCGCGGCCGCTGCCTTGCAGCTCGGCGGCCACCAGCCGGTTATTGGCCGCCGCCCACTCGCCCTCCGCACGTTAGTACACAGTCACACGCAACATTCACACAAGTTCGCAGTCGCATACCAGTTAAATGGACGCAGTTAGGCTTTCATTATTGTTGCTTTGACTACAGCATTGTATAAAGAAAAAAACGACGGGTTATACTCTGGGAGTGCCGGCAGAAGTGAAAACTTGAATATTAACGTTATGCATTTTTGATATTTTGGAATGGTTAGGGAATAATTTTGCACGAATTGCTTTAATTTCAGTATAAAAGTACTATCATTTATGTGGTAGAATATAATATTTATTTATTGCACTATCGTACACAAACATGACAATTTATATTACATTCGCGCAAGCGCCCTGCGCCGCCTAAACGAAACAGCAGGCGCAGGCATATATTTTCAGCGCGCCGTAGAAAGAGAGGGGGATACTTCCTCTCCTACGCCGCCCGTCATACGCATTTTCGATCAGGTCACGTGTCCTGACGCGAGTTTAACATTTTTTATCCATTACCAAAAAAAAAAGTGTACAATGTCGCTAAAGAAGTTTTCACTTCAAAAATCACGTATTACAAAAACCTACTAAACATTTTTCATTTGTATTCGTAAGTTTTGTCGTTAAATTCACATTGACAATAAAATGAGCTTTACTTTCCTCGACAACTCCAACCTTCCAATATATATATATATAAAATTTAAAATAAGATATTTTAAAATAAGAATTGATCGTCTTAGAGTCTAGCTAAGTCCATGTATAAACGTCACTTGAAAGTTTCAACGGGCGAAACTGCGTGCATATATTACAAAGAGTAATCGATGGGGTCGTGTCGGGGAGGAATTGTGCGGGGTGCTGGCACAAAACCTAGCCCGTCCACGGCGCCTACGAGAAGAGGAGCAAAAATGGCACAACGAGCAAGGGATATATGGTAAGCGGATATTTTAAGCAAAAAAAAAAACAGTGTTAGTCCAGCCAATCCTGGAATCGAATATTTGATATAATTTATTACTTTTTATAGAAATACAAGTTGACAGTTTTCTTTTATAACTTTTTGGCAAAATAATCATATTAGCAAGATAAAGGCACTTAAATAAAATATTTATTTAAAGTTGACCCGACTATATATGTATGTATTCTTATTAGAATGTTTTAGTAGGTACGTTATCAGTAATGCCAAAGCCTTAAAAATCATGCAATGTTACAAATTCTATTTAAAATAATATCAGGATTTCAATTTATGCTTCTTCTTCTTCGTTAACTCGTTAAAGTCCACATCTAGACGTGAATACTTACTCGGGTCATAAGTTCTGTCAAAGCCTTATTATTTAAATTTTTGAATACTGGCTAGATGAACTTCACCAATTTTACAAATATAACGTTTGCGCTTGCCGAAAATAAAAAAAGAAATTAATTTTCATTCATTTTCAAATATGGAGTGGTCGAAGAAAGAAGATAGAGTAGTGGTTTTCGCGTTGCACCGCTGTGGTTACGCGCTAAAAGAGATTTTCAATATTCTACAAAAATTGAAAATAAACCTACGATTTGTTTATCACACTATAAAACGATTCATTGAAGATTCAAGCTTTGAAGATCGTAAGAGGACCGGCCGACCTCGTACAATTAGGACACTGCGATCTTTAAAGCAGTGAAGGCGAGAATTCAACGAAATCCTGTTCGTAAACAAAAAATCTTAGCTCTTCAGATGGGCCTAAGCAGAACCACGGTCAAAAAAGTGATCAATAAAGACCTAGGACTACGAGTCGTAGATAACCCGACATTTTTTGAATGAGCGATTGAAAAAAATTAGGCTGGATAAATTTCGCGCTTTGTTACGGCGGTACACGGGAAAAAAATACCGCGAAATTTTGTTTTCGGATGAAAAAATTTTTAACATCGAAGAAAGTTATAATAAACAAAATGATAAGGTGTATGCACACAGTAGTGAAGAAGCCAGCACGCGTATTGCGAGGGTTCAACGAGCACATTATCCTTCGTCACTCATAGTTTAGCTTGGAGTCTCATATTCAGGCGTAACTGAGGTGTTTTTCTGTGAAAAAGGTGTAAAAACCAGTGCCGAGGTGTACCAAAATACCGTCCTAACAAACATAGTCGAACTTCTTTCTCAAACAATGTTCAAAAACAGACAATGGATATTCTGTCAGGACTCTGCACCAGCTCATAGGGAACGAAGCACGCAAAACTGGAATTGACTTTATCGGGCATGAAGACTGGCCCTCTTCTAGTCCAGATTTAAGCCCACTGGATTATAAGATATGGCAACATTTTGAGGAGAAAGTCTGCGCTAAGCCTCATCAGAATTTGGAATCTCTCCGAGCATCTTTGGCTAAAGTAGCGGCAGAAATAGATATGAGTGTGGTGCGTGCTGCGATTGATGGTTGGCCGCGTCGATTAAGGGCATGTAATCAAAATAGGGGAGGGTATTTTGAATAATGTAAATAAATTTTTATTCTAAATTAAATTACCTTTCATTTCATATATAATTTCTACATAATTATCAAAAAGTGTAACAATAATTTTATAAAAAGTTTTTGACAGAACTTATGACCTGACTACAGTATATATTTATAAAATATATTTTTTTATGGGTTAAGGGTGACAAACGAACACACAGTCCACCTGATGGTAAGTGGTTGCTGTGCTCCATAGACAACTACATCTATCCTCGATTAAGAATTAAAATGCAGATATGTTCTCACCCGTGAGGACTCAGATGGAATGCCTCGTTTCCTGTAACAAGGGTCTCCGGTTCTCTACATTTACCATACGAAACACAGCAACGTTAAGCTGCTATATTACGCTGGTATTCTGTGAGCGTGGCCCTTCTCCGGTCGAGCCGATCCATTCGTTCTACAACTATACTACTAATATAACTGCAGCATGGCCCTACCACGTAAGAAAATTAGGTACGTAATTTTTAAGTCTATTATACGTTTAAAGATCTAATTCTAAATGATTAGTAAACAAAAGACGAAATCAAGTAAGAATACATACATAAACTACCGCGCAAAAATAAATACAAATTGTCAGAGTACAAAAATTGTGCCTTTGTTATAGTAATAAAATTAATTTAAAAAAAACAAGTCTCAGTCCTCGGAGATGTTCTTCCGTATTCTTATTTTAAAGTTCTCTGCCTTACATCACTGCTTTCTATAGCAGAAAAAATACCAACGCCCTAGGTCATAATAATTATTTTGTATGAAATATTAAAATATTGTTGTAAATTCATTTATTCATTACAGCCTTTAAAAAAATCCACTGTTGAACATACAAGGCAATCTAATGGAGGTCCCCTTAGAAAGCCTCGACAAGGGGTGATGTTTGCCGGAGTTGCCATGCTTAGCTTTAGATAATTTTAGAATTAGATACTACTGTTTTATTGAACTACATAAAGATAATCTAATAATAATAATAATTTTTAATAATCCATTTAAACAAAACTGTTTCCGATGTTAGGAGGAATATATGAAGTGGCACATCTCTATCGACTAGCGCATCTGTTCGTGCAAGATAGAATGCTTGGACAATAATATACAGTAACTTAATAGGATTAATACCTGGCGGATTTCTTGTTCAGCATAGTCAAGTTGCTGACGCCAGTACGGCTCGCTGGGTTCGCCTGGCCACTCGTCTTCAACGTTGTTTCCGCTATCCTCTGAAAAATATAAGCATAAAAATATTTATGAAAGTCATAAAATGACAATCAGTAACGATTAAAATCGTATCAAATTAAGCGTATCTATTAATTCCTCTTATCTTAAATAGTAGACTAAGAGAAAACTTAGTAAGATCTTGTGGCCTTTTATTGTTATTCAATATACATAAACATAAAGTTATCTAATCAGATAGGCGGCACGATTTAGAAAAGAAGGTAGGAGATATGGGTACTATTTTCGCCAATCTTTAAGCGTGATGAATAAGTTCAGCTGCAAGTTAACTTTTTTTTTATATAAATATTAACAGTGCTATAAACATTACTAATATTCCCCTTAGCCACTCGTGGTAAGCTTAAATTGCTTGTGTTACGAGTGGTTCACGCCAGTTGTCGAATGGCGGATTCGAACCCACGAGCTTTTTGAGTTCGCGGTCCGCGCCCCGCCATTAGGTTACTGTCGCTTCATTTACTTATAACTTAACGTTAACTCAATGATATATACAAAGATACTAAATAAGTATCTCATTCTTTAAAGGGTATATGAACCAAATAGATAAACTTTATGATACAAACATAAATAGCAAATTTTCAACACCCTGGGAAATGTATTCAAAGTTAATATCACTCACATTTTTGTTAGTCATGCCAACTATGATTGTTAATGGTTAAGGCTGAGTTCATGCCTGCAGCAAAGGGAAGCGTTTACACACAAATGTGTAGTGTTTACTATGTTTAGATTCAGGTCTGTCAGGTTCAGGCAATCGTCCGTATTTAGCTTCGAGGCGACTCAGTAATTCAGCATCATCAACATCTGAAATCTCTTCTTCGTCTTCAACCTCTTCTTCAATTTCCTCTTCAATCTGCTCGTCGTCTATTATTTCTACGTCGTCCGGAACTTCCTCGTTTTCCGATTCCTCCTGATCTTTATTATCATCCAGACTAATTTCTTTCGGATATTCCTTCTTCTCGTCTATTACCTCTTCATCTTCAACCTCTTCATCATCATCACTATACATTTCTTTGTCTAAAACATCGTTTGTTGCCTTTTCAGTAGTAACTTCCTGTACATTATAAAAATAAACAAGGTAAATAATTATATGAATAATTCTATATACACAATTATAAATGCTATTTTTACTTACTTCAGTCTCAAATTTCTCTGAGACTTCTTGATCTTCTTCACTTTCTTGTTTTTGGATTGGAACTGATTTAACAGTTTTTGTGTCTGAAAAGATCTTTTTGACTCGTTCTTCATGTGGAGGCTCATACGCTGGTAGCAGGGGCGTCGGTTCATTTGGAATGAGAGTCATTCGTCTGTCAGTTACAGATGGAGTTTCCTCTTGTCTTGCATTCGCTTCATTTTCTTGAGTATCTGTTTGTAGGAATTAATTGTATGACTACTAATTGGCATGAACGCTACCCACAAGAGGTATCGTGTCAATAAAGAACATTACAGTTTATTATGTTAATTGTTTTCTTTGTTTTAGTGATAGTAAAACCACAGCTTAAAAAAATTTCAATGATCATTTTAACATAAAGATTATGGCTTAAGTAAACATGTGGCTCGTTACTCTTTGTGTTATGGTATCACCCAGCAACATTTTGTTTTTGTTCACGAAAATTAAGTTTAGAGATAGATATGTTGCTGTGAATACGCACCGCGTGGCGCCGTCGAGCGACGTATAACTGCGTGTGTGGCCACCAGCAGCGCGCCACCCACCACCAACTTCAGCCACACTGCAACACACGCGTTACCCTTAGATCATAATATGGAATGATAACACGCATCTGACTGAAAATCACCTAAACCATTATGTCCATGATTCCTTTATCAAAGTTTGTGTTGTTATATTCTTCTAATTAGAAGAAATATTACCATTATATAGATCTTTAAAAGTAATTCGATGATATCCTAAATGAAAATAAAACTATTACCTATTTCATTAGATTTACGCAGTAAAAAACTGTATATTATATAAATAAATTTAATATAATATTGTGCATTGAACAAGAGCTCTATTAACATATACTTTGTAAATATCATATTAACTTCTACTTTGGAATATTATATTAACTTATACTTTACGTAAAACAAAACAAACAACCCAGATTCGTGAAGTGTGCACTTCGCAGTTATGAAAAAAATAAGCCGAGCTAACTTTTTTAATAAGCGAAAAAATAAAAAATTCCATGGACGCAGTAAAGAACGGTTTCATCGATTCTTGTGCGACAGACTTCTATAACATCAACCACAGTTTTAAGACAGTCAAACAGTTGGGAAAAGAAATGTACTTTTGCAGAGCAATGGCGAGGGCCGTGCGAGGCAGTGGGCGGCGCGACTTTGTGTAAGCGCAATGCGGTTGACGCGAGCATGTTTTATAGTACTAATTTAAGTAATTTTAAGTACGGTTATCGAAAAAAGTAATAACATCTATAATGGTGAATTACTGTTATTATTATACGAGTTATTAAGTAAAGTTGAATTCAAATGACGGTCATGCTTATGTTTACCTCATTTTCTTTTGATAAAATTGTTTATCCGAATGCGAATACATTACATAATTAAACTTAACAATCGAAAACTGAAAACACCTTAAAAAATCTTTTAAAATCATAGAATACTACAATACATACATAATAGAACGGGGGTGTGGGCGGAGCCCGTGTAGCCACTAAAATGCCACAAGACGTCAATTCACAAGTATAAATGTCAACACGAGATATGTTTTGACGTTACAATCGTTTCAAAATTTCACATGCAAATTATTTTGAAAATGCCAAATTGCACGCTATTTACAAATAAATACGCATTAAAATCCGTCTGTCAACACAGCGAATTGGGAGTAGTGATTAACTGATAATACGAGTATGCTTGTATGTGTGCTCCCGGCGACGCCGAACCTCGGTACAAAATAAGGTTAACAGCCATTCTATTGTGTATTATAGATTTATATGTATGATTAAAATATTATACCTTAGTGCACTTCCACAACTAAGATGAATCTAACGTTACCCGATATGTTAAAACTCACATCAAGCCGTTTAGGCTTTTTTGCGTGCCAGAACTAGACATATACTCGTGTATCATATCATACATACACTCGAAAAACATTACGCTTCTTGTGGAGCAGTCGAGTAAAATACGATAACGGCGATAAGGGATGGGACAGCGGGACGTCGATGACTCGTTACTTCAGTTAACGAAACTTGCTGTTATTTTCAGTGACAAAACGAAATGTATTTTGCAAGCGAACACTGTCTAGTAGATGAATGATGCAAACATGTGGTCATAAATACATACACATACCAACAATATTTGGGTGAGATAAATAAGTTAGCGGAAGAGAAGTCAAGGACAATAAAATTATACTCAAAAGATAGATGTACTTCACTCTAATATAAGTTTTTTGATCGGTGTTACAGAATGTCCCTTGTGCACGACATGAAAAGGTGCTGCTGGTATGTACCGAGGTCACGCAACATACAGTTACAGGTACTGGTGAACTTTCTGAACTTCTTCGAGGAGATTTCATATTATCTCAAATAATTATTACGCGCTTATTATGCGATTTGGCAGGAATACTGCTAAATCTGCTAAATCGCATAATAAGCGCTGTTGACAAGTTTGCGGTAAACAGTCCGTTGCAAAGTAAACAAAACTAAACAGCTGATGTATATTGCCCAAATAGTAAAGTAACTAATAATTTTAATTCCGTTACTTCAGAGACAATCTCAAGTTTAAACTCTAACTACAATTTTGACACTTGAGTCTAGACAAAACAATTTTATACAAATTGTGATGTAAAGTTGAAATTTAAACACAAGATTTGCCTTAGGCAAGTATCTCAGAAACAACCTTACAAAAACCCTTTTTTAATTTCAAATCTTGAAAGGTTTATAATTAAAAACTTTATAATTACATATTATGTTAAATTCCTCAAAGATAAAAATTTACATTTTATGAGATTAGTTCAAATAATTTTGTTATTACTTTTGTAAATTCTCGTTCTTCGAATTTCTCCTGACTCGTAAATATAGTCCGATGACAGTTAGATAATGTGGTGAATATAAAAGAAACAGAAATTTCTTTTAGATAAAGTCCAAAGTATCTGAATTGGGAACCAGAAGATGATGTCCTTCTTATAGAGTTTAAGGCTCAGAGATTTAATTAAATTATTTAAATGTGATTACTTACACTAAAATAATTAAAATAAACAGCTTACGATACAACAAAAATAAGAAAATTTATAGTCTCTTACTCACTCTGTCGCTCACTTCTGCAGCATAATTTTGCTTTGTCACTCATTCCTTATTCATTCTTTCTGTGTCCAAAATACTGAAGCATTCCTTTCTTAAACCCTTGTTCAACAACTTGCAAATCACACTTTTTCATATTATAATACAATTTCTCAACGTTTTAGTCAGAGTCGCCCTAACATACTTCCTAACGACTGCATTTTTACAGCATTCATTTTACTCTTATGCTTCTTCTGCCATACACTACTTTCATTCATTGTAAATTGCCACACGTGCTTATCTTTAGATAGCCGAACGCCACTTCATATACAACAAGATGCTACTTTAGCTGCCATTAGACTCAAGACCATAAATCTTTGGAGTAAGAGTAGAGCCCCTCATACAGGTATAATTGATAGAATTTACTCAAAAAATCCTATCTTGCATGCCAAGTACGATAATATCCCAAAACAATTTGTATTCAATAAGATGTATAAGATACAATTAAATAAAACTGGTCAGCCGGAGGGATTAAGCCCAAAAGAGCTTAATTTTCACGGATGTTTCTATAACATATGAATGTGTAGGATCTGGAACTTTCTCTGAAGACCTCAATATCCACCTACGAGTACGTACACCCACTGGGTACCCATAACACAGTTTAGTTTAGTTTATGACGGGGTGTTTTTCCGCAACTCCACGTCTAAGCGCGTATTTTGCGTGTGGGCAGGAATAATGTGATTATTCTTGCCCACACGTATATGATATCACCCTGAATAAGTTCAACAGTCTTTTGATGTTGCAAGCAACTTCGGGGAGCGACCCCGGCGTGCCAAGATGTTTAGCCCTGTATGAAGCTACTTCTGGACTGTCAGCAACACGTGAGCCGCCGTTTCTTCCTCTCCCATGCATGCACCCGCACAGGGGGCTATCAGTAACACCTATGGTAAAAAAATGTTTGTTAAAAGAGCCCTATCCTGTGATAGCACTTGTTACTATCCTGAACTGTGGTTTGTTCAGTCTCATTCGAACATTGGTTAGAGTACTGTTTACTTCAGACAGGGCCGTCCTAGCTTGTCTACAGTCTACTAAATTTTTTCAAAGCTGAATGTGTAAATTATTGAAGTATCTACGTACCAGTGAACGAACGTAGTCAAAGGGGATTGGTATTATAGGTTCCGGCCCTATAGTGGCCAGAGCCGATCCCCTTCTGGCCAGTTCATCTGCCGCATCGTTGCCTCTAGATCCACTGTGTCCCTTGATCCATTTCAGAGTCGCATTGTTTATCCATAACACAGTATTCAGGCGGAATGTATGTGTACAAACGGCCATAGCAATAGATGCTAGGAAGGTAAAAAACTTATGCAGAATACTGACTGACAGTATGGCGGTATTACAAACTCTGAGTTGCAATATGGTGAACTCGGGACTAATATATGAATGCCATCATGATTAAATGAGGTATGTAAACACAACAATGTAACTCTGCTGTGGATAAAGGGACACAGTGGATCCAGAGGCAACGATGCAGCACACGAACTGGCCAGAAGAGGATCGTCTCTGGCCACTATAGGCCCGTACCCAATAATACCAATCCTGTTTGGTAAACTTTACTATATAATCTACACACTCAGCTTTGAAAAAATCTAGTAGACTGTGCTTATTTCAGACAGGGCTAGAGAGGCCTTGCCTGAAATAAGCATCGTATAACTAAGGTTCTAATGAGACTGAACAAGCCACAGATCAGGATAGTAACAAGTGCTGTCACAAGACATGGCTCCTTTAACAAACATTTATTTACCATAGGTGTTACAGATAGTCCCTGTGCAGGGCACGTATGGGGGAGGAAGAAACGGCGGCTCACGTGTTTGTGATCATTCCCTGAAGTTGCTTGCAACATCAAACACTGTTGAACTTCTTCCGGAAGATTTCATGACTCGCATAATCACATTATTCCTGCCCACACGCAAAATAAGCGCTTAGACGTGGAGTTGCGCAAAACAGCCCTTCGTAAACTAAATTACTAAACTAACTACTGGTAGAAGCACAAATTGGTCGGCTCGACCAGGAAAGAATTACGCCCTCACAGAATACCGCCATAAAATAGCAGCTTAATGCTGCTGTGTTTCCTATGGTAGGGGACCGGAGACCCTTTTTACTAGATACTGCATTCATTTTAGTCTTCAGGGGTGACTAAGTCAAAATACAGATGTAATTTGACTCTTAATCGAGGATAAATGTACATGTTTATGGGCCACAGTATTCATTTTTTTTATAGGATTGGGTGACAAACGAGCACACAGTCCACGTGATGGTAAGTGGTTGCTGTGGCCCATAGACATCTGCATCTATCCTCGATTACGAATCAAAATGCAGATGCGCTGTCACCCGTGAGGACTAAGATGGAATGTCTCATTTCCAGTGAAAAGGGTCTTCGGTTCTCTACACTCACCATACGAAACACAGCAGCATTAAGCTAATATTTCACGCTGGTATTCTGTGAGAGCGTGGTCCTTCCCCGGTCGGGCCGACCCATTCGTGCTACAACTATACTTCCAATATAACTGCAGCATGATTCTACCACATATAAAAGTACCATTTACCATCAGGTGAATTGTATGCTCGTTTGTCATCACGTTTATTCTATAAAAAAATCAGGTGAAAAAAAGGGCCCCTCTATAAACCCAATTAGTGCTAGGGAGATAGATAGATAGATTTCTGATCTGACAGCTCTGATGATAACGGACAGATAAGAAAAATAAGTATGAAAATTCACTATTGATGATTGGGATAACTATAGCTAAAGCACCTTAGCCGAAGTAATAGTGTTGTTTCTCCATGTGGCATGTGACAGTAATAGTGTTGTTTCTCCATGTGCCATGTGACAGTAATAGTGTTGTTTCTCCATGTGGCATGTGACAGTAATATTTGTTTCTCCATGTGGCATGTGACAGTAAGTGTTGTTTCTCCATGTGCCATGTGACAGTAATAGTGTTGTTTCTCCATGTGGCATGTGACAGTAATAGTGTTGTTTCTCCATGTGGCAATATTAGAATGCAAACCTGGTTTTGAAAAACTTATAACAAACTTTTGATAGAGATAAAATATATGACGAACGGTAAGTAATAAAACAACATAAAAATGTGAACTTAGAAAGACAAAGTGATTATTTAAATATGACATATATCTAACTACATTAAACAGATTAAAAAAGAAAATTAATTTATATTATATAATGAACATTGAAATAAAAGATGTAATTCTTCAAAAAGTTTTATTTAAAAATTGTATTTTCTTTCTTGTTTTAAACCGAATTAGGGGTTAGTTCGTAAAAATATTTAAAGTGCAGTAGTAGTATCTTATAAACATGAAATTAAGTTTGTAGAAAAGCATTAATACTCTAGCAAAACAATTGGTGCATGATTAATGGTCTAAAGAAAATGTTATAAAGCGCAAGCTGAATAACACTCTACAAGTATACAACGGGCTTGCTAATGGAACTGGTTCACTTACTCTTTGATGAAGATTCTTCCTTTTCGAGGCGAAGCTGTTCCTGACGCTTTTCATATTCCTCCTCTTCATCTAACGTATTTGTTGGTTTCTCTGATGATGTTTCATCTTCCAACTGTTTTTATACAAAAATTAAGGACTTTTAACATGTAACTAGTGATAACTTCGTGGCTTAAGAGTTTTCAAGAGACATTCAATAACAGGGAAAAAAATTATAAGAAGATATTGATAGCTATCCTGTGTAGATGTACTATGAATATCATCATTTTCTCTTTCAAACCTACATATATTCAATTAATCTTACTGCGTATGTTATGTAACTAAAACCACCACTTCATATAGTTTCGGTCCCCATACGTTGTCGATTCTGCGAGCTCTATAGCAGGCCTATTGCCACATCAGCTTACTGGTCCTGTTGGGCTATGTCGATTGTTCTAGTATACATCTATTTATATCACATATACCTCAAGACTTGAAAACAAGAATATGCAACAGGATGATAAACAGAACGAACTAAAACATGCACCTTCACTTCTGGCCTCATCAAGCTACACAAAAGGCTGTGCTCGGGGATTTACTAAGTGATAAACTTCGTAATGAGGATGTCCACAGTAGAAACAGAGTAACCGACAGCCAAAGAGATCAACGTAAAACATTAATTTGTTTGTATATATTGTTGTGGTTCTATTACTACTTTGAAACCTATATACAACCAATTTCATCACATAAGCCATACACAAGAAATGTACAGGTTTGGACAAATTAGTGCATTAGTATTTGCGAATCCACTTGTGGGTTGTGGCAAGAGAAAAGTGAGCATTGTAATAATTTTGAAAATATTTGAAAGTTTCGTGAGCGAAATCAGCTAGGATAACATAACAAAATAAACCAATAATGTAAAAATACGAAACATAATCATTACTGTTCCATTTAATCTAATTTCAAATAATTCTAAGATTTCACTAATATCAGTATTATAAAGGAAGATTAGTGACAGTTAAAAAGTTTTTTAAGAAAGATCTATTAATAACATCTAAACTAACGGGTTTTTCAACAAGAACTTTGTTTTTCAATTGGGGCAACACCAATAACATGACAGTTTTGACATTTAGTTTTTGACCTATACGTAGTAGACGCTTTGGCAATTGCTACAATGAATTCAATTTCGCTCGAAAATCGCATTAAAATAATTAAAATCCACTATGAAAATGGTGGTTCTGTTAAAGTTACGTTTCGTAAAATTCGTGATATTTTCGGACAACATAATCGTCCTTCTGAGACCGCTATTAAGAATTTGGTCGCTAAATTTGAATCGACAGGCTCGGTACAAAATGTGCCAACACCAACGCGTGTTCGACCGGGTCGTTCAACCGAAAACATCGCAGCCGTGAGCCACAGTGTTGAAGAAGATTCCAAATTTGTCAATTCCTCGACGTTCTCAACAATTGGGGTTATCCAAAATCACCACATGGCGAATTTTGCGTAAGGATTTGGCTTTGAAGCCTTACAAGGTTCAACTGGTGCAGGAATTGAAGCTGACCGACCATTCACATCGCCGTAGATTCGCTCAATTCATTCAGGAACAGCCCGCTGGTTTTTCTGAAAAAATAATTTTTTCAGACGAAGCCCATTTTCACTTGTTGTAGTACGTCAACAAGCAAAATTGTCGCATTTGGGCTTCTGAAAATCCTAAAGCGATTATTGAGAAGCCTTTGCATACTCAACGTGTCACTTTATGGTGGGCTATGTGGTTGGAGGCGTGATTGGGCTGTTTTTTTTTTCGAAGATGAGGCTGGAAATGCGGTAACGGACAATGGATCACGCTATCGCGAGATGTTAACTTCATTGAAAATAGTAGATTGGAAAGTCAACTCTGTGAAATTCACACATTTCTTCAGTCTCAATTTTGGCCTATTATTGATGACATCGATATCACAAACATGTGGTTTCAACAGGACGGTGCCACATGTCACACAGCCAACGAAACGATCAATTTATTGCAAACCAAATTTCCCGATCGCATAATTTCACGAAATTCAGCTGTTAAATGGCCAGCCAGATCGTGTGATTTAACACCACTGGAATATTTTTTGTGGGGCTATGTTAAGGACAGAGTCTATACGGAGCCAATCGAATCGATCGCGGCCTTAAAACTCAAAATCCGTGACGTGATTAACGAAATAGACCCGCCATTTTGCCAAAAAGTGATTAAAAACTTTGATGAAAGAATCGACATCTGTCAGCGTGGTCGTGGTGGACATTTGCCAGATATCATTTTTCATTCATAATTGCCAAACTTTTCTCTTCGTAATACAATAAAAATTTGAATCATCTTCATCAAAACTCTGTTTTATTTTGTTTTAGAAAACAAAGTTCTTGTTGAAAAACCGTGTAGTTTAGTCATAAATAATGGTACAATTTGAAGAGTTTTCTATATTAATTTATTTTGTAAGAAGTTTTGGCGGAAACTTAATCGCTGGCCATTTGCTGCTCCTGTAAAAGTCACAGCCTATACTCGTCCCGATCCTGGACTAAAGATTTTCATTTCTTAGACGATTTTAGTAAGGTCCGCCGCACTACCCTCTGGGTGTTGGCGGATTTCATGTCTTCGATTTTTTTTTAATTTCTCAGACATTCAGGTTTGTCTCACGATGCTTTCCTTCACCGCGGAGCACGTGATAAATAAGCACTAAAAACTGCAATTATCAATTTCGTTAGTGCCGGTAGGGCTTGCTTGTTGTAGTAACCCGGGCTGGGTTACTCGCGTACCTATATTTACTGTGACGGCTTAGCATCTGATCTACCACGACTCTGCTTCAGTATTATCGTTTTAAATATCGATTTATAGGAAATTTTGATGAACAAAGGTCGTTCGATTTTCTATGTTAAATATCTATTGCATATGAACTATCAGTAGATTCAATGAAATAAAATAAGTGATCCGATAATACATACTTCAAGTTATTTTGCCTGCAGAGGCAGGCACCTTGAGGACCAATGCCATCGACAGTCTACCGACTTAAAGTGCCCTTTAATCGATATTTATATATAAGATAATGAATTATATCATTTGATGTATTCTTTTTGTCTAAAGGCTTTGTATTGTTTTGTATTTACACCCCAAGGGGCGTATTTTTTCCAATTTATCACTTCTAAGTACAACCTATTAATTAAAATAATGAATAATTTTAATGGTTAGTTTAGCCGTTTGTAAAGAACGGTCACGAAAAAAAATGCGTGAATATTGAATTTCGCTTTTAGTTTTTGTAACTCAGTTAAATTTATGCATTTCATGCCTAGCAAGGTAAATGTACCAACTTATTGCAAAATATCAACTGTTAACAAAAATGTGCATCCTGATGATTGACGGATTGCCTATTGACAGGAAATCCTACCAAAAATGCTGAACTCAAGCTGATAATGCATGCAGCACTACTAGAATGAGCATTTTGTCTCTGTGCTTTTCAAGCCGTCTGCCTAGCATGATGAGTATTAGATCTTTCAAGTAAGGCATGTCAGCTGATATATTCTTCAAAATGCTATCAACTGGCTGAACAGGCTGTTAATATGATAAGTATTAACTTAAACACATTCAATACATTAATCTAGCCACTAGATATTTACCTCGACAAAAGGTTTGCCTGGTGGCACAGTAATTTGTTCAACTACTGGCAGTACAGTCATGTCTTCATCCTCAAATGAACTTTCATCTTCATTTTCATCTCCTTTAAAGTCTTCCTTATCTAAAAAATAATATTTATACACTATTTATTTAAAAAAAAACTTAATTGATAAAGAAATTTACAGCCTACATGAAGGTAGTGAGTGGTAACTGCATTCTACAGAAGCTGGCGACTCACTTCAAGCAAAAGTTATAGATGTATTGTCACTTCTGAGGACTAACATGAAATGCTTTACAGACTAAAATTACACTTTCACTTTTTAGCCCCAGACCAGAACACGGTAGTGCACGCAACGATGCTCGGCGGTAGAAATAGGTAAGAGGGTCATTCCCACCTAGACCGACTAGACAAATAGTAAGTCAGTTGTATTTCACTCAGTATATGATAATAAATGTCGTAGATACTATTACTTACTATACATATAATTAATATACTATTAGATACTACACAGTATATTTTTACGTGGTAGAGCCATGCTGCAGTTATATTAGTTGTAGCACGAATGGGTCAGCTCGACCGGGGAAGGAATACGCTCTCACAGAATACCAGCGTAACATAGTAGCTTAATGCTGCTGTGTTTCGTATGGTGAGTGTAAGAGAGAACCGGAGACCCTTTTTACTGGAAACGAGGCATTTCATCTTAGTCCTCACGGGTGATAACGCATCTGCATTTTGATTTGTAATGGAGGATAGATGTAGATGTCTACGGGCCACAGCAACCACTTACCATCAGGTGCACAGTGTGCTCGTTTGTCACCCTATCCTATAAAGAAAAAAAAAGATACAGTGATTAAGACTTTTACAGTGACCTGCTGGATATCTATCATAATTCGCGTCATAGGTCAACAGCATTTCACATTTTAGTCACCAAAATTACCAGAGACAGATAATAAAAGTATATGAGTAAAACAACGAGAAATAAGTTAGCTCCATAAGGAAAGAACTATATTCTCCCAGAAAACCAGCATAAAATAGCAGCTAAATGTTTACAATGTGTGAATTTCACAGAGTTGACTTTCCAATCTACTATTCATCTATCAAGGAGCAATTACAGCTATAATCACATCTTTAAGAAAGAGTTTATTTGTTATTTGTTTGAAATGTGCAGTCTTTAGAAACCGACTTTGCACTTTAAAAATAAGGGAGTCCAAAATATGCAGTTTAATTAATAATAAAATATATGTACTGCGTAAGTAGTGTTCCAGGATGGTCCAAAATACTTTTTACAAATTCATGATTTATAATGGTATTTTAATTTAGGCACATATTACAAAGCATACAAGTAATTTTACGAATTTTATAGCACATCGGGTTTCGCATTTCTATACCTGTAATTTGTCTTAATTAACATCATTATATTTATGTGTTACCTTCATCAGAAACTGGTAGTTCTTCTTCATCTAAAACTTCTCTCTCTATTTTCTCTATTTCTTCTTCTCCATCTTCTACTGCGTTTTCATCATTATCCTTCAACGTAAAATATTTATATAAATACAAATAAAAAAAGAAATTAAATAGCATCAAACCGGGCAAATAAATTACATTATGTAGTATGTTCGCTGGGCGCCAAAGTTTACACTCACATGCAAATAAATGTCTTTTAAGAATAGAAAAGCAGCATTTTATCATATTTTAATAGTGTGCTGATTATCTTTCACATCATTCATAACATATTGAAAAAATATTTAGTGTAGTAATAATGCAAGAAAGCATACAATTATTATACATTCAAAATTTAAGCACTGTTAAAAACAGATTGGTTAATTCAAAGTAATTATAGATAAAAGACGAAAAGCAAACACAATTGTTCATCTTAGACTGTTTAAAAAAAAATTGGATAACAGTTTTCATTCAGCGTCAAACTACTACTATGTATCTCTAATTAAAAAAAATTTAAAATTAAGTTAATGCCAATAAAATATTAGTCTTCACAGTCAATCGCATATCAATAAATTTCACACAATAGAACTTCGTATCATAACAGTTTGCACCTCAATTTCATTATCCTCGTCATATGTGTCAAAATTTTCATCAATATCATCTTCATAATCTCTTAAATTTTGTTCAATGTCGTTATTTTCGTAGTTGTCATTAATTTTCCTTATTTCATCACTCTTATTTTCATCAATGTCATCGTCATCATCATCATCTTCAATATCATTTTTCAAGTCTTCTTCCAAATCATCATCACGCTCCTCTTGGAAATCATTATCGCTTTGACCATATATATCGCGTTTATAATATTTCTTGTATTCAAAGTTTTGATCATCCTGTTCAAATTTATAGCAGATAATATAAATAACAAGAAATTGCGATTATTTTTACTGAAGCAAAATAAGCTTATCAATTAATTCAAGAAAATGTTACTATTTGTATTTTGATATATTTTAGTAACAACAGGGAAAAACACATTACAGATAAGTAAAAATTTTATGACATAACTTTAAAGCATTATTTATATATTTTTTTTATTTTAGATCACACCTCATTATCATATGCTTCTACATCCTCCTCTTCACTACCATAATTATTATTGTCATCTTGATCATCATCACCGTTGTCACTTTCTTCTGTTTCTTCATCAGCATCGTCATCAATACCAGAGTTTTCCTCCTCATCTTCATGCATATGTTCTTCAGAGTGATCATCATCTTCATTATGTTCTAATTCACTAACGCGATGCTCATCATCATCGTCATCATCATGTATTTTTTTATAATCCTAAATTATTTTTATGAGGAAAATAAGACATTTATTATAATTTAAGTCTCGCAACATTGATAATTCTAATTCATAGTTGTTCAATAAAGATGTAGTAGTAATAGCCATTTTTATGTAGATCAGAATGTATTTCTTAGAAAGGTACATTTACATCAAAAAAATTCAAAATAATGTAAAATAACTTACATGATGTTTTAATTCCAATGTATGTTCATCATGATGATCGTCATCGGGCGCATCTTCAATCCAACCATTCAGTACTCCAGAATATCGCGATTCTACCGCATTTGCTTCCACTGCATACAAAAAAACACATGATGTCAAACCATATTTATTGCATTAAATTACACAATAATAGTTGCCAATGTAAGGGAATTGATCCCCCCATTTCGTCACATAGGTGTTGTTAGAGGCTACCATATAAAACGCCAGAAAAACATTATTTCCTTTTGCATACATCATACATCAGACTTCTGATACATGATCTGAACCATCCACCTTATACTGGATGTAAAATTAGACCGGCGACGATGAGCTGCTTCAAAGTTACGAGACATCTGCTACTGAGAGCATTAGCTGCATAGTGTCAAATTTGATCTGAGTGTTAATTTCGGATATGGCTTATATTTATTTGGTGTTAAAGTTTTAAAATGATACTCATAGCTGTTATGCTATTGGCTAACTTATTTTTGGTTGGTGTCTGTCTTAGTTTAATTGAAGCACATATTATTGTCGTTTTAATGTTTTGTTTACTTAATTTTAGGTCTTATAAAAAAAAAAGAACTGTAGTAGGTAATTAGCGAAATAAGTTCAAAGAAATATTTTTTATACATCTTTTTATATTTTTCATACTTTGTGTAAGATTGACGAGTTTAAGTTAGTTTCAACTTTTATATGTATAGTATAGTATATTTTATATATATATTTGAATTATGCTTTCTACTTTTTTAAGATTTATTGGTGTTCCTATCAAAAGTTAAGATTAATATTCTAAAGTATGGGTACAGGTCGTGCCACGTAAGATGAAATTAAATAGAGTCCACTGCGCATGTACAATCAAGCAGAAAAGTGAAAATTTTATTATGGCATTTTAATATGTAAAAAGTCAAAGGTCAACATTATAACTACACATCAAAGTCTCCACGAAAACTGAACGATATATTTATATATCATCGTTAGGTTTTAACTGCTTCTAAATAATATTCTGCATTTTATGTACACTTAGTTAAAGAAATAAAATATTTTGTATTTGTATTTTTGTATTTGTAATTGCTGTTTAAACTACACTATGCGATAGCCTTCGATTATAAGGATATTTTAAATGCAATAATTTGCAAAAAAATGATCTTGTAGAAAATAACTTAAAAAAATAAAATATTTACAACTTTATGCAATATACTACGAACTACGCTATTTTAAATAGTCCCAAAATAATTTACAAAGTAATAAATATTTGCACACTATTTGAAAATATTATAGAACAATATTTTTAAAAGTACAAAAATAATCGCGAAAATTTAAAATTTTATAACAGGTAGTCGCTAACACTTTCGATATCGATAGTACACAAGACGACAGAAGAAGGTGCGCGGCGACGGGACGCAGGAAGAAACTACTTGGGAGTAGCGCGTCGCCCGTTGCTATGGTTTCGCTTCCCCGTACCTCACACCTCACCGTGCCGACACCTATTTTTCGGTTCTGCGCACTTCCATGACTCGTGGCGTTACCTATACGAATTTGTAAAATAGTGTTATATATATTGAAAAAATAATTTGCCGTAAAGTTAGCTTTGCCACTAACCGACAGATGTCACTTTTCACTGTGTATATACATCTACTATCTTTACTGAGTCATAGATAATATACTATACTGAGTGACTAAATCATCTACCCGCGCACAAGCTCAACCTAAACAGCTTGAAGTAGAAATCTAAAATTTGGACAACCTACCTACCTTTTATAATTAAATTTTTTATTTAATATTTATAATTGGTGATGGTGATTGAGTACTTAGGGCAAGTTCTTATTTGTTTTATGGAAACTAAGTATTGGCTAGAGAAATTCGGGAGCAAATTAGTGATTACGTTAGGTTATTGCAGATATTTTGTTGTTTATTACAAAAAAAACAAGCATACAGTCTGTCCTATTCGTTTCTTGGTTCGTTTGTGGGTCCGTTTATTTGTTTGTTTGTCTGATTGACCAACTAACTGAATGTTTTTAATCAGATTAGTGTCATTCTAAGTATTTGCGACAGTTTAATTTACAAATAAATCATCATCACTTAAAATAGCAAAAGTACTCCACGTGAAAGAAGTCGCGGGAACAGCTAGTAATTAATAAAATTAAATCGAAACCCAAGTATACCACTTCAAAACTTCAAGATATTGGTTCTGCATAGATTGAACTAAGAATATACATTCAAAAAGTGAAGGTAGAGCCGGGCTAACTGTGAAATTGGGACGTCAAACACTTCAGTCCCCCCGTGATCATGGGTACTGTAAAGCACCCGAGACGTCGGGAAAAGTTAAAATTAAACGCGATAAAATCCGTAAAATTAGAATTTCGTTGCCTTTGGTCGCTTCGGTGACAAAGTTCTCAGAGAAATGTTATCATCCTACGATTTCTCAAATTCCTGCTCTTTTGGGTTTACAAGCTAGAATTCAGTATTGTTTCTTTCTTTAGTCGCTTCTTTGGCAAAATATTAAGAAGAGTGTATCTTCTTAAGATTCTGCATAACTTTGTTGTTTCCTTTGGTCCTTTGATTAACTAAATCATTAGACGTATGAATTGTACGAACAAATTGTCTATATTCTTATGACATCTTGAACTTATGACATCTGGAATAATAAAAATAAATATCTAAGCCTTGGTAAGTATTTCAACAAAAATAAATTTACTTCTGGGCAAAGGCGAGTATTTAGCCGAGCATATTTAGTACACGGGCATTGGCAAGCTCGAAGATTCACTTTTATAATTTGATACCAATATAATATATTTTCGAAATTATACTGGTATACAATAGAATATTCGTTCACCAATACAATAAAATAGATTTACTCACATTTTACACAGCCAATTTTGAAAATTAAACAGATTTTTTTTAGACTGTATGGTGACTGTTGTATTACATAGACACGTAAAACTAATTACCCCATTAAAATGGAATCTTAATGGATAGACCAAGCGTTCAGCGTAACTATTTGGATTGTACAATGCATTCACATACGATGGGTAAACTATAGACATCCGGTACTCATATACGGTAGTGGGAGGGGAGAGGGGGAGGGTTCAGGGGAAGCTTCCCCTACCCTTCCCACTTTGCGGAAATGTATAGTTTGAGTAAAAAATTTTTTTGTAAAATTATAACCTCACTTTTTACACAGGAATGTTGACACAAAGTTACTTTTGTGCTTCGGCGCTGCGGGAAATGCAGCCCCTTCACATTTGCGTAGCAAATCGCAGTCACCCGTGCGAGCTGCAGCAGCTGAGGCTGGTCGCCGAAGGCGACCAATAAGCCGTAGCTGCGGAGGTGAGCATGAAGATGATACCTGCAATTTGCTACAGCAGGCGGGGGCTGCTCTCCCTCCGCGCTTACAGCTTTATAAAAACACTCTAGGGGTAGGGCAGACAAGACTATGTGGAGTCAGGACATGCTGTTTCGATTTTAGAACAGACTCAACCAATCTTATTTATAAAGTCAGGTTGCCCTAAACTCTGCTATGATAGTGGTAAATGAAATAATGTAATGTGAATTTTTATAATTTTGTTTTCTGAAAAACCTCTTGAGTGCTCTCCACTGCGACTCAATTTGTTGTATCTGAGTCCTGTCTTTAGCCACAAATGGATATTCTGGTTCCGAGTGGTTAACTTTTTTATGAGTATATCTGTGTTAAAAAATCAAATTGACATATTTGCGTTTTGTTATACGCAATTTTTAGTGAAATTTATTTTTATCATATTAATTTAAAAGGCATTTCCGAAATTCAAAAACAGTGTAAAATATTCAACCTTAACCCTGACAAACCTCCTATATTGAAAACAAAATTAAAAAATCAAGTACGTGACATCTACTTCATAATATGAGAACAAATTGACATATTTGCGTTTCGTTATAAAGCAATGTTTAGAGAAATTTGTTTTTATTGTAATTAATTCAAAACACATTTCCGACATCTAAAAACAGTGTAATAGGTTCAAGCATAACCCTAACAAGCCTCCTAGACTAAAAATATTATTAAAATCAAATACCAGATATCTATAGCCAACCCCATAAGACTATTCTGAATAAATCCACAGTGGCTTGTGCGACCTCTTTACAGCCTTGGGTAAAAGTGACCACCTCTTATTTTGATCTCGCTCTGAGCCGCTCCACTCGATCAGCTGACTTAACGGTATCTCAGAATGAGTTTCCAACCATTAGCGCAAAGTGTGAACTCCATGAGCGGCAGCGTTTTGAGGTTGAGATGCGAGGTATTTCCCGGGATCAAGAAAACATAACACAAATCCTGTCCTTATGTAAACCTTTGGCATACTCTGGTGGACTCAGACTTTACCTCAGCTTTTCATGGAAAGGTTGCTTGCCCTCCACTGGCTATAGTTTTGTAACATTGTTGAAGAAAAAGATTTTGTCAATACAATAAAAATTCAGGTTATTAAGAGCAAGAACTATTGGAGTAACATTCTAAAGGATGGCACAGTCAACATTTGTTCAGGTTTTTCAGCACTTTCTAACATCGAGCTTGCTCTAGAGTACAATTTTGTGGATTGGAAATTGTCTTGCTCTGGACTTTTGTTGGGAATATGCTTGATATTGTGCTGATGGATCTCTCAAATTATCAGAAGCTAATGCATCAGATGCAAACGACGGTACTCTTTTGGTACAGCCTACATTGTCTGCCATTTTCTTACTCCTTCCCCCTAACCTTTGGCCGCCCCTGGGCTTTCGTTTGGTTGAATTTTATCCGAGTATTGTATCCACTATATGGAATGCTAACATAATTTCTCAAGTTAACTATTTACTTAGCAAATAGCAATTATTAAGAGTAATTCATAGGTACATTCTTAATTTTACTTACATTCTGAAAGTCCTCTATTTTCAAGAATAATCAATCCTATTAATGTGACAAGAACAGCCAACAAAGAGAAGAAAATGATCTTAGCACACCAATGTCCCCCAGTGCCATGCTCGTGGTATGAATGTATTAACACATCACCTTCACCAAAAACTGCGGCTGTTCCACGCAGCTCCTCGATTCCCAGCTCATCTATAAAGAAATATATATGGGCATTATTCAAGGAATAAAAACCCGTCATTATTTCGAATACGCAGTGTTTTATTACAGTAGTAGTATTCTTACCCTTTTTCCTTCTCTTTTCTTTTCGTTTTCTTGGTTGTACATCACCTGACATAGTTCGTAATAATCTGGCGCTCTGTAAGCGACAGACGAAATGTTCTGCCTATTGTTTCATAACCCTGTGTAAACAAAGAAAATGCAGTAAACCGAATTACGATAGTAATTGCGCATTTATCTACGCGAGTAAAATAAATTATAACTTGCGCACGTTGATAATTTAAAATAACCTACCTAACAGAGTATCACTGCTGGATTCGTAAGTTTATTTTAGTTTTAACCTAAAAATAGCCGGCGAAGATAGCTAATGTAATACTTTAGGTAGAACGTGAAACGGGAATATTAGCCATCGAGCATATTTTCTATCATGGAGGTTAGAGAACAGGAGAACGATCGCTGTATAGTGGAAAATAGTGTCCCAGAAATAGGGACAAAATAAGTGAGGCACTGTGAGGCACTGTGATCGCTAAGTTGTCTTAATAAAAGAGGGCTGTTGTGCGCTAGTTTGAAATAATTTTAATATCACTTCAAAGAAAAAAAGAAAATAACGAAGTTATTATTATTTATTATTATAAATAAATTTAAATTTTAACATAACATAACATAACATAAACACTCACGCCTGTCACCCAGAGGGGTAGGCAGAGACTACAGACTTCCATTTAGCACGATCCTGACATACCTTTCTCGCCTCTTCCACATCCATATACCTACGCATACATGCTCGTCGGTTAAGAGTACTCTTAATTTGGCCCAATTTTAGTATATCGCCAATTTGGTCGACAAACTTCCGCCTAGGACGTCCCTTTCCGACTCTTCCATTCACTTCTGCAACATATATTTGCTTTGTCAGTCTTTCCGCATTCATTCTTTCTACATGACCAAACCACCGAAGCATTCCTTTCTTAATCCTGGTCACCGCATCATCTTGCAAACCATACTCTTCTTTTATCACACAGTTTCTCACCCTGTTACTCAGATTCAGCCCTAACATACTCCTTAGCGACCGCATTTCTACTGCATTTATTTATTCTACTCTCGTGCTTCTTCTGCCACACCCAACTTTCACTACCATACGTTAAAGTAGGGAGTAATACAGCACTGTGAATTGCCATACGTGCCTTTTTTGACACATTCTGACTTTTCACAATAGAGTGTAGAGCCCCATTTACTTTATTTCCTGCATTCACTCGTCGTTCAATATCCTTATCATATCTCCCATCCCTGCTGAATACACATCCCAAATATACGAACTCATCCACTTGCTCAATTAACTCTCCTTCTATTCTTATTTCACATACCGTTTTGCTTTCATCTCTTTCAAAAACCATCACTTTCGTCTTACTTGCGTTCACTTTCATTCCCCTTTCTTTTAATGAACTGTTCATTAATGTAACCATCATTTGCAACTCGGCCGCCGACGACGCAAGTATGACTTGATCATCGGCGTACAAAAGGCATTTGATGGTTAACTCATCCATTCTTAACCCGCATTCTTCAACTTTCAAATTTTCCAAACAGCTGTCCATAAATAGGTTGAACAGCCACGGGGAAGCTACACAGCCCTGTCTGACGCCTTTATGGATGCCAAACCAGTCCGTGTAGACCCCGTTGATTCTAACACAAGCACTCGAGTCCCTATACAGAGACTTTAATGCCTGTATCAAACCAGCGCTCAACCTAAATGCGTTCAGCGTTTTCCATAACACATCCCTGTCCACTCTGTCATAAGCCTTTTCCAAGTCCATGAACGCACAAAAAACTTTTTGGTTTTTCGCCAAAAACTTCTCCGCGATCATGCGCATGGAAAAGACTTGATCTGTACACCCCATTCCCTTTCTAAATCCCGCTTGCACATCCCAAATTTTTTCATCAGTTTCTTTCATAACTCTTTCAATTAGTAGCTTAGCATACAGTTTTCCCACAATGCTAAGAAGGCTGATACCACGGTAGTTTTTACAGTCCTGCTGTGACTCTTTTCCCTTATATATTGGGACTATCACGGCTTTGCACCAGTCTCCCGGTACCCGCTTTAGTTCCCAACATAAATTAAACAAGATGTACAGCAGGCCTGCCACCACGTCCTCTCCAGCCATCATTTCAGCCAGCATTTCAGGTGAAACTCTATCATATCCGGCTGCCTTACCCACTTTCATGCTTCTCATTGCTTTCATTATTTCATCTATATTTATCTCCCTATCTCTTTCATCTTCTTTCGGAATTTTTATTTCATTTAGTTCACACTTCTCCTCACTCATAAATTCGCTTTTAAAATATTCCTTCCATCTCTTTAGACTCAATACTTCATCATTCAGGATACAGCCATTCTCGTCTCGTATCGCATTCAATCTAGGCTGTTTTGAAAGTCCCCTGGTATTTCTTACGAGTTTCCAGAACATTTTAATATTTGCCTGGAAGTTATTCGATATTCTTCTATCATTCCTATCCGTTCTTTCTTGCTTTTTCCTTTCAACTAATTCTTTTACTCTCTTATTTAAACGTTTAAACTCTGCCTTTTTTCTTTCATTCTCATCATTCTTACCGCCAGAATTACCAGCTTTGGTCGCTAGTAAATCTAGCCATGCTCTCTTCTTTGCTTCAACTTCCATACGTACCTCATCATCCCACCATAACGTATTGTCTTTCCTTTCATTCGTTCTCTTACTAACACCACATACATCGGTAGCTGCATCCACTAAACCTTTTTTAACATTATGCCACACATTCTCCAAGTCTAACTCATTCACACACAACTCGTCCAAATTACTTATATTTTCTCTCAGTCTGCATTTGTACTTGTCTTTCACATCTTCATCTTGTAACCTCTCAATTCTTATACGCTGTAACGCAGTGGTAGACACAGATGTCCTATGCCGCCAACGTCTGAATAAACCCCTAATTCGGCATAAGACCAGGTAGTGGTCCGTCCCTACGTTGGCCCCCCGTAAACCCTTGTATCCACCACTGCGCTCCTCATTCTTTCATCCACAGTTATGAAATCTATCATGCTTCTATCATCACCTCTTTCCCAAGTATACATGTGAATCTTCTTATGACGAAAGAAAGTGTTCGTCACAAAAAGATTCCTTTCCACAGATACGGTGAGGAGGCTTTCACCATTCTCATTTATACTTTCATCACCAAACGTTCCCAATATCCTTTCATAACCAAGCCTCCTCACCCCAACCCTTCCATTAAAATCTCCTAGCATAATAATATTTTCATTTCCCTTACACTTCATTAACACCATCCTTACCATTTCCCAAAACTGCTCCCGGATATAAGTGGGCTTAGACATGTCTGGGGCGTAGACCCCTAACACAAACAATTTCTTTAAGCCCACTTTCATTCGTATCCATAGCAGTCTTGGGCTTACACATTCATACTCTTTCACACATTGGCCCATTCTTTCTGAAAGGATGATACCTACTCCCTGGCATGCCCGCTCGATCTCGTCTACACCAGACCAGTATGCGGTATACATGCCATGTGCAGTGACATCCTTCCCCTTCCTTTTCGTTTCATTTACACATAATACATCTATTCCTCTATCATACATCATATCGCATACTTCATCCATTTTATCATTCATTGCCCCACATACATTCAACGTAGCCAGACGGGCCTCTGCAATCCACTTTTCGCCTCTCTGGGAGACAGAACGTGACGGGTGGCGAACCTCGTCGCCGGTTTTCCACCCGGAGATTCTTAATCCCGGAGATTATATTTTGTTTTTCATAATTTTAATTATTATAAATATTATAAATTATTACAAATATAAATTATTATTAATTTATTATTTTTTTTAATAATATTTCACTATTTTATGTTTCTTTTTGCCAATAATTAAAAAATTACTTCGCAGATACTAGCTACATACCGACGGCAGCGAGGCTATAAATTCTACAGATTTTCAGGGACATGCGGGCTATGCTTTAGCACGTACGTTGCTCTTCCCCCGAGCCGCAGTCAAGTGCAGACGTGCTAACTAATATTATTTTATAACAATTTAAAATCCTAATTAAATATAGTAGTGAAAAAAAAATCGATTAAAAAAATAGGAGTGCATAATGGTACCGGATTATATTACGGTCATCGATACCACAGCCCGAAGCAGGGACAATTAACTAGCTCCACCTTTTTTTTTTTTGCGCACGAAGCAAATATGGGCAACACTCCGGAAAGCGGGGGAGGGAGGTTGAGAATGCTCATAGCATACCACGCAGCCGGCTGCGTGGTATACTATGAGCATTCTCAACCTCCCTTATGTGGTGACTTTTACCCACTAAACCCAACCTTTTAGGAATTGGCTTAACGATCTGACTAGAGATCTCTAAGCCGTATACGAACGCGACCCTCCTTGGCAGAAAGGAGGGCGCAGCAGAAAGGAGGGCGGATAATAGCTCCACCCTATAGACTAATCACTACGTACTTCTGCAATCCTGATACCGTAAGTGCATGAAAATTATTGCATTGGAATTTAGTAGCACAGTCATTTTGTATGGTATAGCCAGTCCAGCGTACTTGTATATAAAGAGGTCAGTGTGTCTGTACTACTAAGAAAATCAGGACTTCATAGGCGTGATTTTACTGACAGCTGTCGCAGAGATCAAGCTATCTTTTATGAACTATAGTGCAACATGCATAGATAACATATTTACAAATGTTAAGCAGTTCAATAAATGTATTATTCAAAAATTGAGCTCTGATCACTGTGGACAATTAGTTTCGTTACCTTATGTTCACAAAAAGCAAGTAAATAAAAAAGTAGTATTTGTTCCAGTAAATGCACGTCACTTGGAGAAGTTTAGAAGTAACATAGTAAAAAAACTTCCATCACATTCATACCAAAATAATCCAGATTTTTTGTATGTAACATTATTTAAACTTATTTGCAATGAATTTAATAATACTTTTACTTCTAAAACATTCTCCTTGAACAATCGCAAGGCATTTAATGAGTGGGCGACAGTAGGAGTCCATAAGAGTATACAAAGGTTATATGAACATTACAATGTAAGGTCATATAATCCTAGCGTCGAATTTAGGGAATATGTA